GGCACACATACTATGGAGGGTAAAACACAGTATAGCCTCAAATGACACAAACATTCAATATTTGTTGTACAATATTATTTCCATACTTGTGATTATTTTGACATTGTGCAGGTTTCAGTCAACAATGAAAATAAAGGATGGCACAGTGTATCTAGGCTAGCAATCAAATCTGAATTTTAGCCTTTCTCGGTTTGTCCTCTTTCAGACATCCCAAGGGTGACTGTGACTGTGGCACAGTTCTGACTAACACTGCTCTCATACATAGAGCAGTTCTATATGGATGTGTTATGTTTGCTGTACTCTGATTTAATACCAAGGCATTTGGTAATGGTATCTAGGCGAAGGAAGGAGCCCTAGCTTTAATTCCCAGCATTTTCTGTGCATGCTTGGCTGTGTTGATGAGTCATCCGTCACAGGAAGTGCACAGCGATTGTGATTCACACTCTCTGTAATGCAATATTAGAGTGCTGCTGTTTATTTCGCCCCAGAGTTATGGATAAGTTGTCGGTCTGACCGTCCAGGCAGCGAAAACTAGCACTCCACAGTCGAGCAGACACAAAGGGCTATCGAATGTTTCAGCCCCTGGGCAGCCCACTGTCACCCTTACTCTCCCACTCTTTCAGCAAGGGAATTCACAATGTCTTTTTGGCCCAAGGTTTCTGATGGTTATGAGAGATGGGAGACAGATTTGACCATTCATATGACAGTATCGCAAGTATCCTGTTGAAATTAGAAAATAAAAATATAAAAAATAGAATATTGTGCCCTCCAAATCCACCCACCTACAATTGGCTGTGGTAGACAGAAAACTAATAAAGAATGCACAGTCCCCCTATATATTGCCATCTTGTTGCCACTGGTGAGCTCATCATAAGGTATTGGCCAGCGGAGGGCTTGATTAAAAAGGGGGATGGGATGGGAGGAGGTAGATAGTCACCATGGCAAAGTGCCTGTCTAATAATGAGTAAGCCCTATAGCGGTATTCAGAGTGACGTGATTTTGTGACCATTCACTCAGCATATACCCTAATACAGCTACCACTACAGTACTACTTCCACCTCTACCGATAGTTAGTTACATATCGGGATAGGCTGGCTTGGCGGGTCCTCCATATTACATCCCACCCCGGGAAAAACATTTTCCGACATGACTTCGCAATTCTTCGAAATTCACTAGCTGGCTACCTGCCTGGTACTCAGTCCTGCACCTTGAAACTAATGCCCCATCTATATAGACTCATTGAATGCTGGTCACCTCATATTCTGTTCATATACTGTTGTTTACTCACTGTATGTACAGTGGGGGAAAAAAGTATTTAGTCAGCCACCAATTGTGCAAGTTCTCCCACTTAAAAAGATGAGAGAGGCCTGTAATTTTCATCATAGGTACACGTCAACTATGACAGACAAAAGGAGAATTCTTTTTCCAGAAAATCACATTGTAGGATTTTTAATGAATTTATTTGCAAATTATGGTGTAAAATAAGTATTTGGTCAATAACAAAAGTTTCTCAATACTTTGTTATATACCCTTTGTTGGCAATGACACAGGTCAAACGTCTTCTGTAAGTCTTCACAAGGTTTTCACACACTGTTGCTGGTATTTTGGCCCATTCCTCCATGCAGATCTCCTCTAGAGCAGTGATGTTTTGGGGCTGTCGCTGGGCAACACGGACTTTCATCTCCCTCCAAAGATTTTCTATGGGGTTGAGATCTGGAGACTGGCTAGGCCACTCCAGGACCTTGAAATGCTTCTTACGAAGCCACTCCTTCGTTGCCCGGGCGGTGTGTTTGGGTTCATTGTCATGCTGAAAGACCCAGCCACGTTTCATCTTCAATGCCCTTGCTGATGGAAGGAGGTTTTCACTCAAAATCTCACGATACATGGCCCCATTCATTCTTTCCTTTACACGGATCAGTCGTCCTGGTCCCTTTGCAGAAAAACAGCCCCAAAGCATGATGTTTCCACCCCCATGCTTCACAGTAGGTATGGTGTTCTTTGGATGCAACTCAGCATTCTTTGTCCTCCAAACACGATGAGTTGAGTTTTTACCAAAAAGTTATATTTATGGTTTCATCTGACCATATGACATTCTCCCAATCCTCTTCTGGATCATCCAAATGCACTCTAGCAAACTTCAGACGGGCCTGGACATGTACTGGCTTAAGCAGGGGGACACGTCTGGCACTGCAGAATTTGAGTCCCTGGCGGCGTAGTGTGTTACTGATGGTAGGCTTTGTTACTTTGGTCCCAGCTCTCTGCAGGTCATTCACTAGGTCCCCCCGTGTGGTTCTGGGATTTTTGCTCACCGTTCTTGTGATCATTTTGACCCCACGGGGTGAGATCTTGCGTTGAGCCCCAGATCGAGGGAGATTATCAGTGGTCTTGTATGTCTTCCATTTCCTAATAATTGCTCCCACAGTTGATTTCTTCAAACCAAGCTGCTTACCTATTGCAGATTCAGTCTTCCCAGCCTGGTGCAGGTCTACAATTTTGTTTCTGGTGTCCTTTGACAGCTCTTTGGTCTTGGCCATAGTGGAGTTTGGAGTGTGACTGTTTGAGGTTGTGGACAGGTGTCTTTTATACTGATAACAAGTTCAAACAGGTGCCATTAATACAGGTAACGAGTGGAGGACAGAGGAGCCTCTTAAAGAAGAAGTTACAGGTCTGTGAGAGCCAGAAATCTTGCTTGTTTGTAGGTGACCAAATACTTATTTTCCACCATAATTTGCAAATAAATTCATTAAAAATCCTACAATGTGATTTTCTGGATTTTTTTCTCAATTTGTCTGTCATAGTTGACGTGTACCTATGATGAAAATTACAGGCCTCTCTCATCTTTTTAAGTGGGAGAACTTGCACAATTGGTGGCTGACTAAATACTTTTTTTCCCCACTGTATATACTGTATTCTCAACGTGGCACATCCTAATATCCCTACTTCTGTACATACCATTTTCTTTTCCAAATTATATGCAGTCTATACACACCACATATTTATATTCTGGAGTCTCACACATGCTCACTCTTATATCTACTTTGGGTTGTTATTTCTTGATTTCTTGTTTTCATTTATATATATTTTTTGTATTGAATTTGCGATACATTCTACTGCGCTGTTGGAGCTGGTAACATAAGCATTTCCCTGCACCTGCTATAACGCCTGCAAGTCTGTGTACACCGACCAATAAACTTTTGATTTGATTTGACATTATTGGGTACTATGCAAAAGTTGTGGAACACTTGTGAGTGAGTCCTCACGAAACCCAGACAAAAACGTACCATAATTTTGGAGATTTTCACGAAATGTAATTCATAGAATAGTCCTTTGGAGGAAGGATTTTTGACATATATTTTACATTTGTATGTAAAAGCATAATTGAGAAATAATTTGGCCTTACCCAGGCCTCCATTAAGATTCCATAATGTTTCATCTGTAAATGCTACAAAGTACAAGTTGGTGTCGTATGAAGCTTTACCGCTTGCTCTGTAATATGAGTAGTATTTTGTAAAATAAAACATTACATTAATTTATGAATATTGAAAAACATGAACATAAAAAAGAATACACGTTTTAAATATATTGTTTAACATAATATACTCTGACACTCTGATATACAGGCATATCAGAGTGGGATCTCTGATAGTTTTAAAGTTATGGCCCATTTTATACAGATACATTGGCATAGTAGGCAATGTAACCAACCACAGCCCTCCTTTTACTTGTATCATTGCACATCCTGCAAATCACCAGCAGAGGGCAACTATTTTGAATCCATTTTCACATTCACTCTGTTGGTAATGCTTACAAATTGGATCATAACTCTAAAGTAGCAGATCCCACTTTGATATACTCGTAGAATATATTATGTTTAACAATATACAATTAGCCAAATCATTTTTTATATTTTTTATATTCATAAATCCATGTGAAAGAAAAGTTATTGAATTTAAAATACTACTTATTACAGAGCAAGCGGTAAAGCTTCATATGACACCAATGTTTACTTTGTTGCACCTACAGATTAAACATCATGGAGTCTTAAAGGAGGTCTGTGTAAGGCCAAAATGTAATAAATATCGAATCAAATCAAATTGTATTTGCCACGTGCGCCGAATACAACAGGTGTAGACATTACAGTGAAATGATTACTTACAAGCCCTTAACCAACAATGCATAATTATTTTTTATATAATAATAAGTGTTAAGTAAAAAAAATAAGCAAATAACTAAAGAGCAGCAGTAAAATAAAATAACAGTAGGGAGGCTATATACAACTTTGAGTCATTATTTCCCAATTCTGCTTTTAGATACAAATGTCAAAAATATGTCAACAATCCTTCCAAAGGACTATTCATTCTATGGATTACATTTCGTGAAAATCCCCAAAATCATGGTATTCTTTTGTCTGGGTTTCATGAGGGATCACTCCTGTCTTGTGTGGAATATATTTAGGAATATTCTTCTCAATAAGATCAATACTCCTTTTGTTATGTAGGCTAGCAATATATTCCCAAACGTTTTTGTAGTCAATTTGATCGTGTTACTTTTGACTTGTTTTACAGGTTGGAAAATATGGGACAGTGGCTGCTCTTATCCGTTATCAACTCGGGGATGATGTCATGCTGACGGATCCTGCAACTATGAAGAGTTCTAAGGTGGCAGCATCGGCAGTTAGTATCAGCCAGAACTCACTTCATCAGATCATGACCAGATCCATCCAAATTTGTCCAATAGCAGCTTCTGTGAACTCAAAGTGAAACATCTCCATTGGTCTGTGAGAGAGGTAGCCTGGGCAACTCTACTTCAAGTTCCCTCAGACCACCCATACAAATGTCCCCAGGTCCCCCCACCACTACCATGGCGTCCTCACAAAGACATTGATGAAAATGGTGTTATAAACATGTCGACAATAAATAGGATGGGGACGAAGGGCCTCAAAAGTCTGGTTCCACAGTGAACCTGTCCACGGAAGAGGCAGGCGACGGTGGGATTGGCAGTTGGCAGTTCCACCAGCGAAGCTGTTGAAGCGCATCATCTCTTGGTTGGTCAGTTTACTCCTGAGAGACCCCAGGATGACGTGCACTAGTCTGAGCTCACTGACAGACTTGTGATATCTGACATCGCAAAGGTGTAGTTGTGCGGACCTAAGGAGTGGACAATGAACAGAACAAAGAAGAATGAGGGGCTGTGTGCTGAGGGGAAGCGGCCCCCGGCTGAAGTCCCTATAGGTTGGCAGCGGAGAATCACCCACAGCGGGGTTGTCTACATAAGGTAAGACCTGCTCTACCTGTATTTAAACTAGCCTGTGATCCCTCGTCTCCCCAATCGGAACTTAGGCTAATGACCTCTTTCCTTCTACAGTACCAATTTGTCATATTCAATGGTGTGTTTGTTGAACGGGTTCCCTTCATACAGGATTAAACAAAATATATACGAAATTTATAAAAGGCTGTGGCAATAGCAGGAAGTGGCATCTAGTGGGCAAAACCTGGTACTTTCTCACTAAATTATGGGGGAAAATGCAAGCGACTTCAAGGGCAAATTTCTCTGAACAGTGGGGGAAAAAACATCACTAAGCTCACTGTGAATACATTACATAGTATGAATAAACAATACTCCAAGCTGCAGCTTCATACTACTTGTCAAACATAGAGAACTGATACTGTACACTGGCCGTTTGGGTGGGCTTGGTGTGGGGTTTGGGGGGTCCGTGGGTGGCTTTTGTCCATTAATTTGGAATCCTCACGTCTTAGTCTTTGTTGAGAAGAGGTTTGGTCCAAATCGGATGTTGGGTACTATATGTATTGAGTAGTTTAAGAGTCCAAGAAATTGAAATTGGCAACTTGGGTGCAATCAATTAGCTTAATTTGTCAGGGATCAAATAATCTTTATACAAAATAATGTTGCAGGAATGCTTATCTTATCTGTTTCTAATTACAGAAACAATTTCTGATTAATCTGGGATGGTGGGTATTAATTCTCTTTCTTGTGCTTTTTGAGGTGGAACGACTCTTGTCAAATGTCTTTTACCCTAATAAGACTGACCACAATAACCCCGTAGTCCATTACCTTTTATTGAAAGGCAGAAAAAGTCACTTCTAAGCATTTTCTGTACCAGAGCCAGTCAAGCATAACACCTTCAAGAGAGTCTAATATTGCCTCCCTCCCTCTTCATATGAAGTATATTCCCTCTCTGGTGGGAAGATCTGGGCTACATGGCCTTGAGGAGGAGAAGAATGTGTGAGAACAGTGACTGTCTCATACAGAGAAAATTGTCCTCTGAAAAACTATGAAATGCTGTCGGGAGCTATGTTTTATGGCAACATAATTCCACCCACCAGCTGATTTTCTCTCCCTTACTTTCATTGAGTTTGAAATTAATGTTTTTTTTTCCTTTTGAACCAAGCCTTTTAAGCTGATGGCACTTGTCATTATGAAGGTGAGCCATTTTCATGGTATTGTGTTCCTCCTATGTTTTGGGAGATATGCTTTTTTGCTGTGACTGACTGACACTACTTTATCCAGGTCATTTGATATAATTTAATGTGTATGGTTGTGTCTGAAATGGTACCCTATTCCCTGTATAGTGCACTACTTTTGACCAGAACCACTATAGGCCTACTGTGGGAATAGGGGGCCATTTCAGATGCAAACTGTCTTTATTTAGCTATGGTTGTGCTATGCTGTTACATTGGTCACTCACTGAATCTCTCCTCTTCCACATTCCAGTCCCAGTGGCTCAATGCTAGCCTGTCTGGAGCAGGTGAAGAGCTACCTGCTGACTGATGGCACCTGTAAGTGTGGCCTGGAGTGTCCTCTCATCATTCATAAGGTGAGCCAGCCTGAATGAGTTTGCTGTGTGGTGGGGCCACTCCTGGTAGATGGGTCATAAAGTTCAAAGGAAAATGCACTAGACACACTACTGAACACTAACACAATTCTTACTGTAGCCAGGACTGGAGGAGAGAGGAAGTAACACATGTATAGTGTATTGATAAGACTAGCCACACACACAGACGCTAACATCTTTCACTCCCCTCAGATATTCAACTTTGACCCCGGGGCGGCTGTCAAGCAGAGGACGACTGAGGATGCCCGAGCCGATGCTAATGTCACCAAGCTGTGTGTCCACAAGAGGAAGGTCATCGCCGTGGCAACCCTGCACAGGAGCATGGAGTCACCGCACCCCGCTCTGGCCAGTCAGGGTGGTGGCACTGGTATGTGGAAGAAATATTGTAAATCTGAGATGCAAACTAGCTCCCTAGGAAAGATCCATCCATTCATATGACTTATTAATTGATAATGAAGTTCAATATCTCAAATATCTGATCACATTCTGAAGTAGGCCTAAACACCAGTGCTTTATGATATCTTGCGTAAGGGCATAATTTGATGATGAAAGCCAATGTCACTTAATGGCTTTTAGTCTCCAATGGGTGTCACTTGATATAATGACATGACAATCTGTGCATTCTCAGCAAGTTTTGTTCTGTTTTTCCGTATGCCATAGAGAAATTAAAATGAAAGAGAATATCCTTATGACGTATTGAGACCAGCTCAGTCAGAAATCATCTGCTCTGTGCATTATTTTTACAGCACAGGACTGCAGTGCATTGCTGCTCTGTCAGCATTGTGTTATAAAAGAAGCGAAAATGTGATGCTGTCTGAAGAACATGCATACACATATCAGCTAGATTCAACTGTCTGCTTAGCTGCTATTTTCTGTGTTTGCTCTAAAGATCGGGTTTCTGTTGTCAATTCAGCACTGTTTTTGGTTTATTTGTTTTTGGCTTTTCTGTAAGGTCTGAATGGACGATGCTGAATTAATTGAATAGAATTATCTCATCTGAGATGATAAAAGTAATTCCAAAGATTGATACATGTTTGCTTTGCTTTGCAGGCACTGCACCTATGGGTCCTATGAGTCATCAAGCAATAAGGAACAATATGCACAATGGTCCACCCAACTCTGTGGCTCTTGATGGCAGGAATCCTGACAAGACGGGAATGTCCGTTTCTGGTCAACATTACTATACCCATGAACTGGGTTCTCCCCCACAGAGGGATCTGTACTTGGGGTACAGCAGGACAAGGCTGGGGGGCAGCGAATACAGTAGCCAACAACGGTCACCCTATCACAGCCGCCACAGTGTCCTGCTCAGCCCCTCCTCCTCCACCTCATGTTGCTCACAGCATTATGGTGATGGCGCTCCCTCCCCAAGGACTGAACCTCTAGGGAGTCCTGACCCCAACATGCTTGGTTTTCATGGAGCTTGCAGCCCAGGCTCTGCCCATATGAACGGTGATCGTTTTACTGGTCTCTCACCACCCAGTATCTTGCACCACGGCTCCCCTTTGGCCACCCAGCCCTCGTGTGCCATGGCAGGAAGGACTAATATACCGAATTCCCCTAACATCAATGCCAAAAGCCTCAATATGCAGAAGCCGTCCTGCAGCTTCCCTCACAACGACTTTCAACATAAGCCCCAGCCTGCATGCCACCCACAGTCACACTTTTCCCTGTCTCAGCTCCCTCCCTGCATCCTGCAGAAAAAGCAGGTGACCTCTGAGAAGGACCCTCTTGGTATCCTGGACCCAATTCCAAGCAAGACTCCTAGCCAGGGTCCCTTAGTGCCAAACGTATCTGGCCTCCAACACAATGCCCAATCTCAGGTACCACCAATGAATGTAAACATCCCCCCTGCCAGTGTCCCTTTGCCCAGCAACCTGCCCTTGCCAACTGGGAAGTCTGGAGCTGTTGGGCATGGCCATAGGGTCCAGCACCACCCTACCCCCTCATCCGCCTCATCCTCACCTATCATGTCCCCAGTACATATGGCTGGACCTGTCCTTGCCAGGGTGGAGGAGTCACCCCACTGCTCGCGTTGCTTATCCAGTTCTTCTGAACATGGTAGCTTCGCTCACCCCACAGGGCTCCAGGTTCCTTGTGGGGGTTCAAAGCCACTTCCCCGGTCCTCTCAGGCCTCCTTGGGGTCCCCTCGACCTGCAATGCCACAAAGTTCTGCATATAAGATGGACAAACTCCATCACTTGAACGATACCCCCAACCAACTGCCAGGGGAGATGAACATTAGTCTAAGCAGGCATCCAAACTCCATGTACCATCCAGCTCCCGGATCTGATAGTGTCCGTCAAAAGAATCACTCGGTAGGTATGCCCCATAACCAGATGTTAGATCAGCAGAATCCTGCTTCCTTCCCAGCAAGTAGTCTACTGTCAGCAGCAGCGAAAGCACAGCTAGTAAATCAAAACAAACATACCAACAGCACATCGGGTGCAGGCGCAGAGGCTCACAGTGGCAGCAGTTTGGGACACCCAGGGCTGGTTGGTGGAGGCAGAGGTGGGAACCTAGATGGACACAGCACTTTAAACCAGAGATATGTACCTAATCCTGGGCCGTTGGCGAGTGAATTTCAAAGCGGAAGAGCAGCACTAAGAGACAAACTCATGGGTATGGCTCAGCAGAGAGAGGCAAATCGCAAGCGTAAACTGTCCAATGATGGCAGCAGTGGTGGCATCAACAATGACAGGGCTTTCGATGTGCTCAAGCATCCGATGGGTGGCTCTGGATCTAGTTCATCTAGCTTTCCAGAGACTTTGAGGAGAATGTTGCAGCAGGGTTGTTTGCCCCCAAACACCTCCATGGCCCAGCTACTCCAGTCCTTGAGCCACCAAAGTGTCCACAATGGGCCAAGCCATGTGGGCCAAAGCCCGGCCAGATCTGGCAAATCTCCTTTCTTGGACAAAGCTTTGCCTCAGATGTCAACTTTGCAGCAGAGCTTGCAAGGGCCTCATCTCCAGGGCAGAGCAAAGATCCCTGGCTTCCAGAACATGAACAGTGAAGGTCAGATTTCAGGCCAGGATCTAAACATGGAGCAGTTCAACAGGCCAATTAACCAAATGCAGGACCCCGCCTTAGCTGGGAACTTTAGGGTGTTGGGTTACAATGGTGGACAACATGCAGCCATGGGGTCGATGCAGGGAAACCCAAGCCCTCACCAGCAGCAGCAGTTTGGACTTCATCAGAAACCATCCCAGGCGCAAGGCAACCCCCACTTCAGAGGCAGGGCAGGATTGCCTCCCATGATGTCCAATGGCGGGGTCCAAGTCCTCTCTGAGTCAGGTAAGCAGCTGTTTCTTCTTGATTTGGTTGACTATTGTCTTGTTATCCTAGGTGTAGCAAAATCATAGATTTATATGATGTTTTAAGTCAACAGTCTTTATTTATATACTTTTTGTGATAAAGCAAGGACTGCAATGTGTGTTGTGCCCCCTTGTGGGGAACACTGGTCGTTTTTGTCTTTGTATTGAAAATAATTGGATATAGCCAACTTTATTACAATGATCCAAGATTATCCATCTAGATGTTTGGGGCCAAAAAAACATTGTGAATTAGGCTACTACCTTACAAATATGAATATGACCATATTTTTGCATATAACTCTTTGTCCTTGTCATTAAATTCAGTCTCATGTTGTTGCTGTCTTTGTCACTTGCGCTCTTTAAGCATCTTTCATCAAAGCGCTGACTGCAAAACATTTTCTGCTGCACAAACTAAATGAAAGTGAGCTATTTAAAGCCAGTGTGCAAGACCTCTTTAAAGGCAAAAATGTAGTACAAGCAGGAAGACAAAAATGTTCAGATATGTTTTTCTCAAATCACACCTTTTTGTTTCTGCTTTTTTGTTCTTGTTCTAATATTTTTAACCCATTTTCAGCTAAACTAAGTCATATTTTCAACAATGATTTGAGTTAAAGCCTCAGACACACCAAGGATGTTCATATATTGTCACAGCACAGATCAGCTGCAGGATCAGCCTCGTTAAAAATAGTCCAGACCACAAGGTGGCAGTAGCTTTCTTAAGCGACGTTTGGCTTGTGTGTGCTGTAGATGGCTAATGTTAGCTAACTAGCAAACTGTGCTAATGTTACTAGCTAGCTAGAATTTGTATTAAGCCCTTGTTGATACTAGCCAGATGGCCACAACTAGATAACTAGTGTAGCTAGCAACATAATTAAATTGAAAGGGATTCGTTTTTGAATTAAGCAACTGCCTGTTAGCTGCCGAGAGTCAGTTGAGTAGCTAGCTAGCTATCTTGTGCTAACTGCCAAATGGTGATGCTAGTCATTTAGCTAGCAAGCGAACTGACATTGGCACTATGGGATAATGGAGAGTGAATTAAAGTATTTATTAATCTTGCTAGATAGCTAGCTTGGTAAAGCAATTAGTCTTGTGTGCAATGTGCTGCACTTATCACCCCATTTGTTTCATATGAAGTGTGTGTGAGTGCCTGGCTCATTTAGCAAGCTAACGTTAATGAGCAAATGCACATTTATCAAACATAACAAAAAAAAACATTACAAAAAGTTCAAGCACAAAACTCCTCTAGAAAAAAAATAGGTGTATTATGCAGCATTAATGTATAAGTTAAAACAATTCTGTTGAAAGGGGGGTGGATTACACCGGAAAAGTGCCCTCTTTTTTTCATTTTTCTTGTCACTCCTGTTGGCTCCCCCACATGGAGGTTCGTGCTCTCTGATTGGCTCAGTCAAGTTGTCAGCCACTGAGGAGCAGGTCGATTCTACAAGTAGAAACCGCAGGTTCGTCGGTACGCAGCAGGTACGTCTTTTGTTCTAGCAAAAGAAGGAGGCCGTCAGTTTTCTCTGTGTGTCTGGCCTCTAACACCCGACTCTCCATCTTGGCTGTTATGATCATGATATCTTTGTTTCTCTGTATAGGCTACAATCCCCAGTATAGCCTAATTACTCTCATTGTATGAAATGAGGAGCAGAGACAAAACACTCACCAAGTTGAATTATGCTAGGGATTCTTCTACTTTAAAGATTAGGCCTAGTTGCTATCTACTTTTATTGTAGTCAGCCTATAGACAGTGAGCGGAGAGACCTCAGTGTTGTGGAATGCACCTTCTTACTATGTCCTCTGTGGTCTGCGGCCAGGCCTCTACATTGCCAAGGGTGACAGTCTGTGACAGAGCTCCCAAGAAGAGCCACAAGCCACACGTCACTGGTTCGTGTATCAGACAGCTGCATGCGTCCTCTTGGCTGATGTCGCTGTCCCTGTGTCCTCAAGCTAGCCTCTAGTAACCTACATCCCTGCTCTTAGAGAGTGAAGGATGGGAAGTGGGAGAGGGTCACAAACAATGAGAGCACCAGCTCTAGTAAACAAGTAGACATGTAATATTGATCTAATTGCTGAGATGGGGGGTTTGCTCTTAATGGTTTTAGGTGATTGGGAGGGTGAGTGGGATACAAGCTCTGCCACCAGATTAAAATACACTGAACAAAAATAGAAACGCAACATATAAAGTGTTGGTCCCATGTTTCAGGAGCTGAAATAAAAGATCCCAGAAAGTGTCCATAGGCACAAAAAGCTTATTTCTCTCAAATTTGTTTGCATCCCTGTTGGTGAGCAATTCTCCTGTGTCAAGATAATCCATCCACCTGACAGGTGTGGCATATCAAGAAGCTGATTAAACAGCATGATCATTACACAGATGTGGCAAGTTTTGAGGGAGCATGTAATTGGCATGCTGACTGCAGGAATTGTCCACCAGAGCTGTTGCCAGAAAATTGAATGTTAATTTCTCTACCATAAGCTGCCTCCAATGTCATTTTAGAGAATTTGGCAGTACGTCCAACCGGCCTCACAACCGCAGACCACGTGTATCGCGTTGTGTGGGCGAGCAGTTTGCTGATGTCAACGTTGTGAACAGAGTGCCCCATGGTGGCGGTGGGGTTTTGGTATGGGCAGGCATAAGCTACGGACAACGAACACAATTGCATTTTATCGATGGCAATTTGAATGCACAGAAATACTGTGACGAGATCCTGAGGCCCATTTTTTTTATTAAAGGTATCTGTGACCAACAGATGCATATCTGTATTCCCAGTCGTGAAATCCATAGATTAGGGCCTAGTGAATTTATTTCAATTGACTGATTTCCTCATATGAACTGTAACATCTTAGAAATTCTTCCATGTTGCGTTTATTTTTGTTCAGTATACTTATTGTCTCTGTCATTTAATTTTTTTGTGATAAGTAATATGCAACGGCTAGACAGTATTTCCCCTAGGATTTCTTTCAGCATCGGTGGAAAGGGTAGCTAGTTTGATTATATGATGTATAGTTGACTCCTGATGTATGCAATGGCTTGGGATTGTTGGGAATACAGATAGCCAACAGTAGCACAAGAAAAAGGAAATAATATATTTGAATTGGGACTCGTGAGCTGCACTCCACTTGAAGGGAGCTTGCATTTCCTTTGATATGTGCACTTATCAGGAGTCTAATGTATCTAGACAGCTGAACCTTTAGTATAGGCTAATTACATTAGGTGGATCTTGTATTTTATGCACTTTCACAGTAATGTCAAAAAGTCACTAGCGAGCTGCCAGAAAGTAGAGAGCACTTGCCCTTACAGTGAGAGCCACACATCCATAAACATGGGATGCATTTCTGTTTCGATACAGGAGCTCCACACAAATGATCACATTCACTTCGTGTCCAAGCTCTGTGGATTCAGGAAATGTCCTCCGAAACCGTCAGTTAGCGGATCATGGTGGCTACTGGCTACTTTGTTGAGGTTTGTCAACCGTTTATTTCAATAGCATTAGAATCCTCATTTTGTCACTGCTACTATTGGCTACTTCTCCTGTTCTACACCAAATCACTTGCTGACGGTGTTGAGGTAATGTATGGATATCCATCTATGGATGGGCTTCTAGAAGTGTATATCCTCATAGATTTTTATTGATTTAAGAGTCAGGAGCTATATTTTGTCTAAAATACCTATAGTTGGCCTGAAGTTTGTCTGTAGTCAGGGAAGCCCAACTGAACCACAGTTGCCCACTTTGGTTTACATTTCAACAACATAGTTTTCTTTATTTTCTAACTTCTCTTGTCTGTTTCATTTTACTTATTTGTTCAATCAAGTCCTCACAAATCAAGGGAAGTAAATGGGAGTAATCTTTGGGCTTGTTTTCTTTTTACGTCCACACTACTCTCCTTTACTGTCCCTTTGGTTTGCTTATCTTTGAAAAAACTAAATTAGCTTGGAGTGGTGTTGTCCTCCATGATCAGATCTCCCTCTACTCCCCCTCCCTCACTTCACTTTTCATTCTCGCACCTTTCTCACCCCTCTTGTGTTTCATTGTAATCTCTCACACCGCTCTCCCCTCTCTCTCTCTCTCTCTCTCTCTCTCTCTCTCTCTCTCTCTCTCTCTCTCTCTCTCTCTCTCTCTCTCTCTCTCTCTCTCTCTCTCTCTCTCTCTCTCTCTCTCTCCTCTCTCTCTCTCCCTTTGTACAGGTGAGGTCAGCAGTTCTCTGAGCTGTGAGCTGAGGCAGGCCCGAGAGGAGAGTCTTCAGTCTCTCATCAGGAACAGCCAGGCCCATTCACTGCAACAACAGAGACAGCAGCAGCAACAGCTTGTTCAGGGCCAGCCTCAGGGTCTGTCCCAGGATCCGGGTCAGCACTCTATACAGGGCCAGCAGCAGCAGCACAGGTTCCAGGGCCAAGGCTCCCATCCTGATGCCCCTCTCCCTGATGATGCCTCCTCCATCCCCATGAACAGCCTCCTTCGGAGCTTCCAGGTCAGACAGTCTGTTTTCTTCCAGTTCAAGCCCCACATTTCTTTGGGTGACTTTCTGTGTATTTGGATGTTTGTGTGGTAGTTTAGGGATGTTTATTGTTGATTACAAACTACGTTTCCATTCAACATTTCATGTGGATGAATTACCTGACGCATAAAAAAAGTAACCACTGGGCTGATGTAAACATGAAATGCCAGGTACAATTTAAAAAATCCCAACAGACAATTTGTTTGTTCGACATGGTGGGACATTTTTGTTGGAAACATTTATTATGCGAGAAATGGTGGTGGAAACGCCTTCATGCGCAAATATTGATATAATAACCATCATATCGAAGTAAACTTGGAGTCACACGATGATATGTTGTGTGGTCCTCCCACTACGGCTCGGGAAACCATGCAGTTTATTAGGCTACAGATGAAATAAGTTATGATGAACTTCACAGGTTGGTGAATGTGCAAGGTGATGAGCTTCATGCTCCTTCATGGTCCTCTGTAGCTCAGCTGGTAGAGCACGGTGCTTGTAACGCCAGGGTAGTGGGTTCGATCCCCGGGACCACCCATACACAAAAATGTATGCACGCATGACTGTAAGTCGCTTTGGATAAAAGCGTCTGCTAAATGGCATATTATTATTATTATTATTATTATTATTATTATTTCCAATAAATATCGAGGGTCATATTCTGGTGACATGATGATCGATGCTTGGCTGCCGTTTGACAAATACAAATATTATTGCATTATCCATAATAATCTCATCATGTAGGTAGCCTACCTGCACTTTATCTGCGAGGTGTTGGCTAGAGCGCACGTGCCAATACCGGAGTGGGCATATTTGCTATATAACAGTTTTTGTGACAAAACGATCAGTAGAGATGAAAATGCGATGGAAACCCATCTAACTTGTATTTTTCATCCGGTACATGGGAATTTAACAGCAAAAAAATAATAATGTAATGTGCACTATGTCATCACGCACAGCCTTTTATCCGCAAAAAGTATGTTTGATGGAAACACATCTCTGTTGTGTTTCCATCAAAATATTCAAAAATGCATATTTTTGAATATTTGCATGAAAATCTGTTGCAAATCGGATGGAAACCTAGCTACTTTCAACATGTTTGAACCTCTCCCTCTCTTCTTGTTACAGGTGGGTTTGCCTGAGAGGATTCCACTGCCAAACAGAACTATGATGAGTCGACCGGGGATGATGTCCATGTCCCAACCCGGTGCCCCTTGTCTCCAGGAGGGTCATCAAGAATACCAGGCTGCCCAGGACCTTCACGGTGGTGGGGGAGAAGTTATTGATCCCATCCACAGGCCAGCGATGGGCACGGATAGCAAGAGCACGTTTAATGTCATCACATCAACGGGTGCTAGTGGTACCTTCGCTGCTTCTGTTGTCGGCGAGCCTGTCGACCTCTCCCATGCTGTTAACTCTGTCATTCATGGCCCCCTCCGCTCATATCAGGAGCCAGTGCCAGAGCCCCGACACCAACCCAAGGTGGGTCGGCCCCGCAAGAAGACCCCTGAACGGAACAACAACAGCTTCTCCCCTGTTGCTATGGAAGCTCCTATCAGATTCCGCTCGCCGCGACATGGAGCCCAAAGAAGACAATGGGACGGGCAGGCGGAGGGCCAGGAGCAGGCTGGTCTGTGGCGTAATGACAAGCTCCTCCAACCGCTTTCCTTAGCCCAGAGCAGAAACGGCACCTACCCAGAGAGGCCCAAAGGTCAGGCCCAGGTCCACTTAGGCCCTCAGGATCAAACAGCACTGCACTTCCCCAGTGACTTGTATGCCCATATGAATGGCAATGGTAGAGGCCTCACCTCGGGAAGACTACATTCCAGACACCCCAGCCTGTCCCCTGGTTCTTCCTCTGTCCCACCAGAGGGCCACTTTACCAAGGACTACAGCCACTACAACGAACATCTGAATGGCCAACTCAATGGGCACCTCAATGGGCACCACTACAATGGGCACCTGAACGGGAGCCTGAGCGGCGAGGAGGACCTGAGGCCTGGGGACTCTCCTTCCTCCAGTGAGGGGCTCCTGCTCCACCACAGGCCCAGAACTCAGGCCCACTACCCGGGAGATCTGCTCTGGTGCCAGGGCAAAGGCTTCCCTCCATGGCCAGGCAAAATGGGGAGCGTGGGGCACATGTACTCCCCTGGGATGGTGAATGGCATGCAGGGCAAGGTGAGCTTGTTGTGTACTCGGTGTTTTGGTGTGATCAATTATGATTGGTCACATGACTACATCAGATAAAGAAGTGGCGGTATCCGCCACAATTCCAGCCTCAGTTACAACACAATTTGACATTAAACTGTTGCTGCTACTACTACTGTACACATTACCAGTTTTTTTGATGATGGCAAAATAATGCTTTGTATAAGAGGGGAGTTTAAAAATACGTAGGCACTAGGCATGGCATGTCCCTGAAATATATTATATTCCTCACAAAGAGCATGACAGGGAGAGGGAAGAACTCCCACAGTGTTCTGCATAAAAAAACACCCCAATTCTGCTCTGTGGCACAGTCAAAGGCCTCGGAGACACCAAGGAATTAACATCAGGGTAAAACAGCATAATGGGTTTGACACCTTCCCAGAGGTCATTCTACCACCATTTTCACCTGTCTGTCGACATCCATTGCTTGAATTTATTCACTGCCTACTGTGTTTTGTTAGTTTTATTTTCAGAGCTACTGTTCAGGAACTTCAGTGTGGGAATCCTTGAGGGAATGTACTTTATTAAATTTTTCCTGGAATTACCCATATTATTTAAGCTAACATTGGGGCTAGGTGTTATTTCAGTTTGGTTTCATGCCTAGTTTGACTGTGCAGATAATATACAATAGTGGATGAATTTGCAATACCCACCCCTTTTACAGGCCTGTGTGGACAGCTATTTTAATGAATCTGACCCATTGTGTTGAGTAAATAAAATTAAAAGCAGTTAGGAAGGATAGGACAAGATGCTGCCTCTTTTAATTAGACAATTATTGAATGCTCTTTGTCTTACCTGGTGTTAAAGTAACTTGCAAGTTAGTCATTAGACAATAAAGCTTTATTGAAGTTGAGTCATTATAATTATGAATTGTGAAATAAGTCATTGCTTGCTTTGACCTGAGTCATTCTGCAAACTCATTTAGAACTTCTGTTCTGTGGACAGGGTAATGTAATGTTGGGGCTTTTGGTTTCACTTGGCTGTGTAACTGTGCCTGTTCAGGGAATAATAATGTGCCATTTAGCAGACGCTTTTATCATTTGTGCATACATTTTACGTATGAGTGGTCCCAGGAATCAAACCCACTACCCTGGCGTTAAAAGCGCCATGCTCTACCAACTAATGATCAACAGGTGATGTTTTGGTTTTATTCCCCCGGTGTTTGGTAATGTTGTTTCTACTTGCCTTCAGGTAGAGTCAGAGAAGTTCCAGAGGACACTAACAGAGGATCTGGAGACACTACACAAAGCAAACAAGATAACTAGAAAGTAAATTACCCTAGATGAATATGCTATTATGCTTTATTCTGTCCCTGTACAATGTTTTTATCAGATGAGGGATGAAGATAAAGTAATACAAATATGGTCTCTGCTAAATGACTAAAATGTAAAATGTCTTTCTTACAGTGGTCGAAAATGGAATAACCACCTAGAGGCTGCTATACAGGAGGCTATGTGTGAGCTGGATAAGATGACAGGCAATGTGAGTATTCCGATTCACTGTGATTTGGTTATTGTGTGTCCTGTACACACCTCTTTAGACATGACCTTTGGGTGCCCAAACGTGTGTGAGCCTCTCATTATGTCTACAGTCTATCTAAAGATGGTGTTCCATCACCCCCCCCCCCCCCCCCCCCCCCCCACCCCCACACATTTCTTTGGTGCACCAGATGTCACAGAGAGACCGACAAGTCAAGACCACTAAACCCAAAAGGAGGAAGATCTCCAGATGACAGTAAATGTGTGGATCCGTTACTTTAGTGTCCTGCTGGGTAGCGGTCCATCTAGCCAATGGGTCTCGTGTAGCCGATGTGGAATCGCTAGCTAGTGTGTGCAATAGTAGCGACCATTGTCTAGTCTGTTGCATCAGCTTGGTACTTAGTCCAACTGGATTAGTGCTACAATCAGAGTCAACACTCCTTCCACCTTGACCACCACCAAGACACTGACAGTGAAGAAAGTACAAGAAAAGATGGAGGAACATAGCTGCAAAATAATAGCTGTGATATATCCACAGCTAGCTTGTCCTTATGGAAAATGAGATTCTACATATAAGGAAATAGTTGGTCCAAATATTTCTGAGGCATTTTAGATTATGCATTATATTCGGTGGTTAATTGTATATATTGTTCAGTATTATCATCGATGAGTCGACTTAATGCTAATTTTCTTATGTACATATGAATACAAAACTATATATGGTTCTCCTAATGTTTTTATTTTTCACAAAACGGTGCGGCCAGAGCTTTCATTTTTCAAAAGAAAAGCAGCAAAAAGGCATTTCTAATACAGATCTATTGAAACATGCTGTTAAGCATTGAACAGCTGAAGGATTATGATGTTGAACTTCAATAGACACTATTCTCATTTGCATGCAGCCAGTAAGGATGATCTTGTCCTGCTGGGAAGGCATATAGAGTGAGTCCCAAGAAAAGGAAATTGGAAGACTTGAAGATAGACCCACCGTATATCCTTTATCTGAATATAGAAGGACATGCAAATACTTTCTCTTTCTCTTACATTTCCTTTTTCTTTGTTCTTGTTTTTGTTTTTGTCCATGTTATCCAAGAAAAGAAAAAGCCATCAAGGGAAGGAGTCTGAAATATGCCTCTAAGTTACATTATTTGTACTCCCAAAGTAAAATGTATTTTCTCTGAATATTTTTGATAAACAGAAGATCTGTGTTATATCTGCAAAATGACTTTGACAGTATGTGTTTGTTCATGTAATTTAAAAAAAAGTTATTGTAAAGTATAAACTAATTTGTGTGGTATACAGTACATGCATTCTGAAACAAAGTATTCAATAGCAACAGTTGTAATATACGGTTCTGCCACTAGTGTTTAACCTACAATTATGTTCATATTTAAATGGTGCAAAAAGTATTAAGCTGTTTATTTTCTCTATCAAATCATTTAATTGAGCATTTCTCTGTGTTTTACCCTTGAATGTGTCATTTCAAGGGTCAAAATGCCTTAATAGTAAGGACTGCACATTTACAGGCCAGAAGAGATCAGTAGTATACTCATTGGTTTCCTTTGCTCTGCAAAGACAGTTTAAACGACCCAAGAAAGTATGAGTGAACTTTGATCCGAGCCTTATATCCAATGCTACAATTCCCAGCTGCCAAAGCTATGCCGTATAACAAGTTAAGACTTTAAGTTTCTATTATTTATCTTTTTAATACTCTATTGAATTAGTGGCCTTCATTTTGTTGATTTTCATTATTTGTGTTGCTTTTGTACTTTATAATTTATTTATGAATCCCATATTTATTTGTAGATATACATTGGTTACTTAGCAATAATACTAATGAGAGTTGTACGCTCTGAAAAGCCTTAGAGTATTATATATTTTTCTCTTAAAACAAATGAACAGCCTATATATGGATAAATATTCTGTCAGTGGTTTATAAATATACATTTATATATTTGTGTTTATTTATGAAGTGTACATTTTTGGACATTCAGTATGTGCATATAGTGTTCTTTTTTTCTCACTTGTGTCAACACTGAGTATACGCCCACGGCCTGAAGAAATTGTAAAATGTTTATTTTAAAATAGTGAACTTCATTTTCTGTACTTAATACCCTGACTCAGGAGGGGCACCTTCTGATTTGATCAGTCTTGTGAAAATCTGAAATTGTAAAACTGAGAAATGTACATGTTTGTCCAATTTGTGGTATTTAACATACAATATCAAGTAATCTGTGTTCAATCCTAACAGAACAACCGGGCATCCTAAAATGTAATAGTTAGGTTACCAAGTGTTAAAACGAGTATGTCATCAACATTATATCCATTTTGTTTATAAATATATAATATTGCACTCTTAATCCTAAAATTGGGGGTATATGAAGAGAGGCCACCGCTAGTCCATGGACAAAGTAAATAGTTTATTTATGTCTTCCATTTCAAACTTTTTGTCCATTGTAGTGATCTTGAGTGATTGTGTTTATATGGAATAAATGTTTTGCCCTCCTTTATTGAAACAAAATATTTTCTAATATCTTTTTTGAATTAGCTATTTATTGAATATGGTTTTAAATGTCCGTTTTATGCTCTTTATTTCAAAACATATGGTAAAGGCTGAGTGGCCCACGTTGTTTTTAATGGTTTTACAGTGGGAAAAGATTTTACATTTTTGTAAAGTATTTTCATTTTAAATATGATATGCATTGTTAGTAATTTGGTAATGTAACCGTCACATAATATGGCACCAACATCAAAGTATATTTTGTACTTGAGGTTCTTCTTCTGTTTTCAGTACATCTTTCTGAATACATAACAGCTGTAGCATTTTCCTTTTCTGCTTCTCCAGCAGAAATGTTTTAAATTTAGATAAGTGTGCCTGAAATTACACACAGTAAAGGTGGCTATTATGCTTTGTTCAAAATCTTTTAATGGTGTTTGTTCGAAAGGGATTTACAAATTTGACAAAGTATTGCATTAATTTTGCAATAAAAAATGTATTCTATCAACTGTGGCTTACGTTGTTATATTGTACATCTGTGTTAGTCTCTTCCAGTCATTGCATCAGATTGTCCCCTTCAAGCTACTAATTTCAACCCACCTACCCTAATTCACCACATATCCAAACACATCTGTATTTTATATTGCCAGTTTAAATGTGGAAGACTAAGGCAATAAAATATTAGATTTTGTTTCAAAAGGATATGTTTTCACACTATTAAGTGAACTGTCAATTATTCGACAACTACCCTCTGCAATTTTGAAATGATTGGCAACATTTGTATTGATCTTAAACCAGATCATGCTGGGCTCAACTGTTGCAAATGACATGGGTACCTGGAATTGGCCTACTTGAAGTTTACTAGTGTTTGGTGTAAGTGAACAATCCCCACAATTATGTTCTACATGTTTTTCAACACAACTTAAACGTAATACTGTACCAGGCAAATATAAAAGTGTGGCGTGTTACATGACTTCTTCATGCATGTTGTATGAGATGCGCGCGCAACACCAGGGCCCATGTTTTTCGGATGTCTCGCGCTGGCTGTCGGGATTGCTCAGGCGCTGTGGACATGTCCGCCATGTTTTTCATGGCACTGGGAGTGGATCACCTGAGAAAAATAGCTTCTAAATCCAGTTAAACTCGACCAGAAATGGCTTTTCGCACTTGATTTCGACAAAATGGGAACCAATGAAGCCTGCTATTGTGAAATCAACCGAGTCCCTTGTGGATTTATACCATTTTTTTGAGCGAATTGTGGCGGGATACATGTTTCCTTCGCGTTCTATGTGAGTGCGATTGGGGCAAACAATGAGTAAACTATCGTTCCGAGCTCGAGCGCTAGACGCCGCCAAACCTCTCCCCATATACCGCAACAAAGACCTTCCAGACCTAAATGACTGCGTTTCGATCAACCGGGCTGTGCCGCAGATGCCTACAGGGATGGAAAAAGAAGAAGAATCGGTAAGAAAACGTTTAAAAATTTAGATATCTTACAATTATTTAATGTGCACGGTAGTGTGATTTGTATTCTTTATGTATTTACGCAACATGTTGTGCGTATGTTTGTGTATTTATGCTGAGGGCCCGTCATCTCACGCTTGTTGCGTAGTAAATCGTAGTATTTACGCCATATATACTCTCATAGCGTAAATAACGAGGTTTGCTTATGAATGGTAGTGCTTTCTTCCACTACTGACGTTAATGATTTTACGTACATTTTCTTGGTGACTTGCGCAATGTTGCGATTGATAACAAACAGGCGTGCGTTGTAGTAAACTAAGCTAACATGCAGTCAGTGCTTTCTCATCCAACCTTGTATATTTCTGAAGTAACTAGTTAGCTAACTAGCTAAACAAAGATAGTCCCTAGCTAGCTAGTTAACTTAGAGGCCAATGAGACTCTTTTCACTAAGAAAGTAACGTTAGCTAACGTACTAAAACTAAGCAGTAGATGTGTGGGTGACAGATAGATAGGAAGCCAAGGCGCCATAAACCAACCATGGCACACTTGTAGACTAATGTAATGTAGCTAGCTACTTCTCTTTGATCATCTGTATTGTTGTTACATCAGTGCAGATGTAGTATTGCCTGCAGTCAAACACCACTGAAATGAGCCCTACACCTTTTCAAGTTGTTTCAGGAGGTTTCATCACCATAATGCTGCAAGTTGGTTTGGTTTGCATGTGCTGCCTATGAACCCATTCCATACAGGGTGTTATTTGCAGACAAAACTGTTTTGTCTGTTGACTGTCTGTACAGCATATGAAAGGCATTCTTGCTGTCATGATACGGAAAAATGCAAACATGGTAGTTTTTGATTGAAGATAAGATGCATGTTAGTAGTGGGCAATTCCAAGGTAACAGAATGCTGCTGAGACTCAGATGTTTCACTTTAAAACGTATGTCAAACAAAAACCAGTGATTGCAAAATTAAACAAACCGTACAATTCTATGCAAAAGGAATACTTAAAAAAATACTTAACAGAACATTTAACAAAAACACATCTACTTGAAGAACAGTGCAGATGCAAACTTTGGTAACAGAATGTTTCTGCTGTGATTCTGCTAACAAACTTTGCATTGGTTATTGTTTGACATCTTGAGTCTCAGCATCATTCTGTTACCATGGAATTGCCCTAGTAGGTTTGTACTATTAAGTAAACACATTGATCAAGCTCTCTGCTCACTGTCTTTTTACCTCCCTTACTCCCTCTCTCTCTTCCTCTTGCTCTCTAATACACTCTCTCTTTTTGTCTGAATTGTGCCAATACAGGTTTTCTAAAAATGTCAATCTTTCTTTCCCTCAGGAGCACCATCTCCAGAGGGCCATCTCTGCTCAGTCCGTTTTCAGGGAGAAGAAGGAGAACATGGTCATCCCGGTGCCGGAGGCGGAGAGCAACATCACTTACTACGACCGTCTCTATAAAGGAGAGCTCAGGATCCCCAAACAGCTCTTCCACATCCAGCGTGAGTAGCATTTATTGGCAGCAGCTTCTGTAGGCTACTCCCCTCCGATCCAACTCTCACACACATATTCACTCAGAGGACAAATATTGACAAGCTATCAAATGGTTTCTGAAATGTCACGTGCCAAACCTGGATAGTGAATCTTTGGCCAGCCCATCAAGCTAGCACATCTTTGTCTGTCTGTCTGTCAGCCGAGGTTGTAGAGCAGGGGCAACCAAACTGGGACGACGTCAGAAGGTTCCAATATATAATGTATTTATATATTTTTCGAACTTAGTCGGGTTTTCAACTTACTGTTGAGAGTTAGAAAAGTAGAATACACAAGGTGCAATATCTACATTTGGTAGTGCATCTGCAGTTTTCCACTTGTTATGTCAGTCACTGACAGTCAGTCAATTAGCCCATGTCAGCTAAAAACAAATGTCATTGCTAGATAAGGTAGTCTGGCCAGCTATCTAAACCTTGTAGTAATCATCACCAAATTACCTACCAGGCACGTAGGGCATGTGCTCACGTCCAGGGGCCCCCATTGATCTTGTTAGTCACTCTCACTCAGATATCATGTGAACATGGCATAAGTCATGGCAAAATGTGTAGAATTGCAGGAAATTAGCTTTAAAACAGCAAAAGTTGATCTCCGCCCAATGGTAAAATGTGTAGAATGGAAGGAAAATACCAGGTGAAACTGAAAAAAAATGATCCACTACCAAGAGGGGGTGCACTAAAATGTTTTGCCCGTGAGGTGCAGATCTGGGGAAAGGTACCAAAATATGTCTGCCGCATTGAAGGTCTCCAAGAACACAGTGGCCTCCATCATTCTTAAATGGAAGAAGTTTGGAACCACCAAGACTCGTCCTAGAGCTGGCCGCTAAGCTAAACTGAGGAATCGGGGGAGAAGGGCCTTGGTCAGAGAGGTGACCTAGAACCTGATGGTCACTCTGACAGAGCTCCAGACTTCCTCTGTGGAGATGGGAGAACCTTCCAGAAGGACATCCATCTCTGCAGCACTTCACCAATCAGGCCTTGATGGTAGAGTGGCCAGAAGGAAGCCACTCCTCAGTAAAAGGCACATGACAGACCTCTTGGAGTTTGCCAAAAGGCACATAAATGACTCTGTCCATGAGAAACAAGATTCTCAGGTCTGATGAAACCAAGATTGAACTCTTTGGCCTGAATGCCAAACGTCACGTCTGGAGGAAACCAGGCACCGCTCATCACCTAGCCAATACCTTCCTTACAGTAAAGCATGGTGTTGGCAGCATCATACCGTGGGGATGTTTTTCAGCGGCAGGGACTGGGAGACTAGTCAGGATTGAGGGAAAGATGAACGGATCAAGGTACAGAGAGATCCTTGATGAAAACCTCAGACTGGGGCGACTGTTCACCTTCCAACAGGACAACGACCCTAAGCACACAGCCAAGACAACGCAGGATTGGCCTCGGGACAAGTCTCTGAATGTCCTTGAGTGGCCCAGCCAGAACCCAGACTTGAACCCAATCGAACATCTCTGGAGAGACCTGAAAATAGCTGTGCAGCGACGCTCCCCATCCAAACTGACAGAGCTTGAGAGGATCTGCAGAGAAGAATGGGAGAAACTCCCCAAATACAGGTGTGCCAAGCTTGTAGCGTCATACCCAAGAAGACTCAAGGCCGTAATCGCTGCCAAAGGTGCTTCAGCAAAGTACTGCGTAAAGGGTCTGCATACTTATATATTTCAATTTGATTTATTTTTTAATACATTTGCGGATATTGTGTGTACATTGATGAGGAAAAACTATTTAATCTATTTTAGAATAAGGCTGTAACGTAACAATGAAGGGGTCTGAATACTTTCCGAATGCACTGCAAATGGCTAGAATTTGATTGTTTGAAGTGTGATTTTATGATCACTTAAAAGCCCTTGTTTCAAGACTAAAAAGCTGTTGTTTACCTTTTTAAAAATATTTGTAAATGCATCATGTCTATTTGTTCGGGCCGCAGCACACCACTCAGATTTTTTTCTGTCTCACCAAGCCCAAAAGTTTGAGCACCCCTGTTATAGAGCAATTGATGTAAATTGTTACAATCACTTTCACAAGATGAAATCTGTCCTCAGCCAACCAGCTGTAATTGGTTAGAGGCCATACACTTAATTAATTTGCACCAAGAATACCTTTTTGCTGACCTAATCTGATCCTCTCTTCCTCTTCTCATAGCCCTGGGTCTGGATAATGAGAAGCCAGACTATGACATGGACTCAGAGGATGAGACCCTCCTCAACAGGCTCAACCGCAAGATGGAGATCAAACCCATACAGTTTGAGACCATGGTGGACAGGTTGGAGAAAGCCAGCGCAAACCAGGTAACATAACACCCTCCATCTAGACCAGCAGCAATTGTGTTATCAAGAGAGCTTCTCTGTGCTAATAGAAGATTGACCGTTTTAGTGCCAGAGGACCTGGATGGAATGTTGCTTTAAGAGGCTTTGCTCTGGAAAATAATCAAAGGAAACACTGTAATAAATGAAACTTCCTTCTCCGTTTGCTCACAGCTGGTCACTATCACAGAGGCCAAACTGCTACTGAATGAGGATGACTACCTCCTGAAGTCAGTGTACGACTACTGGGTGAGAAAGAGGAGGAACTGCCAGGGCCCGTCGCTCATCCCCCTCATCAAGCAGGAGAAGAGAGACGGCTCCACCAACAACGACGCCTACGTGGCCTTCAGACGGCGCACAGAGAAGATGCAGACCAGGAAGGTGAGAAAGGAGAATCACATGGCTTGGTCTCCTCACACTTCGATTAGATGCAGTTTCAGTATCGGGCAATAATTGTCTATTCTTTCAAGGTTTGGAGCCTTGCACAATTTCATTTATCGTTGTTTGTGTTGCAAGTAATTTGTTTCATGTTAGCTACATTTACATTTTTGTCATTTAGCAGACGCTCTTATCCAGAGTGACTTACAGGCGCATTTCTGGTTAAGTGCCTTGCTCAAGGGCACAACGACAGATTTTCACCTAGTCAGCCCGGGGATTCGATTCAGTGACCTTTCGGTTACTGGCCCAATGCTCTTAACTGCTATACGCTCCATTGATGTGCTCTCCAAGCATTTTCATGAATATCTCTGTACCCTAACTCAGTCAGGATCTCTGCAGACCTGCTAACCTGCATGCATTTTGTATACCATGCATGCACTTTGAGGTCAAAGTACGCTAGTATGAAAAACTACCCATAAATAGGCTTTGAGTTGGCACATTGTGGAGCTGAGCCAGTCAGAGGACTTGGGCGAGTCGTAGTACTATTTTCCTCCCTCGAGCTGCTCTCCACTTCGTCTGTTGATACCACTGATGTGTGAGGAAAAAGGGTAGGGGAAATGGATAAGGAACCGTTTGCTAAATACATGTTCCAAAATTGTATGTGTTGGTCAAGCACAACCACTATTATTTCATTGTTAGCTCCTTAGCTAATGCGACGAAGGTAGTTAGCTACATCGTTTAGTCAACTAAGGGAGAACACTTTCTTGCCCGCTAGCTTTGATCTACGCAACGGTAGTAGGCGCGAGCGCATTGACGAACAAGGAAGCGTGCAGTGTTGCGGTAGTTCATTGTGTGTCACTGCGTGCATGGAAAAACCAAAACAGACATGGCAGAGAGCTGTTCCACTAAAACCGTCCTTCACGGAAAGTTATTTTAGACTGTTAAAGATTAGTAGGCCTGTCTTAATTAATCAGCTCTTGATCTGTCCTCTTGATATAGCTGCTTGTCAACAGTACTAGGCTGCTAGTGATGTGATAATAGTCAGTTCACCAATGACAACAAAACATTTTGAATGATTGGTAGCCTAGTAGTCTGACCTAACTTGATGGATTTGGTCAGGGATGGAGATCTGAAACAAGCTTATATAGGCCTAGACTACTACATTGCATACAGTAATTGAATTATTCTGAATTTTCTCCTCAAATAAAATTAGAGGCCAGTTTACAGGCCAGTTTACATTTTCACTAGACTATCCACAAAAATACACCTATTAATTAGAATAATCATTACCCCTAAATTTCACCTAGAAAAAAGTGTAATTGAGACCACATCAACTTAATTTATGATGAAATACAATACTTCTGTGTTGGCTACATTGTTTTATATAATTTAAGACTCTAGGTTTCAGGAAATGGCAGTTACAGGTTTTTCAAAAATACAAAATGCTCCAACTTCCTGAGCGGGATGTTGACTGACACCCTCCAGACCTCCCCCCTACCCTACCTTAGGCCTACATCAGCACCACCTTGTCATAAAATCCTAGGGAGAGCCCTGATTGTACATTTAAACGTATTTCTACTTAGCTATTGAAGAGCAGCCAATTACCAAGTACCCATAAGTCTATAGCCTACCACTCCTACTGAGGCAGTCTTTTGCCAACCTCATCATTAGGCTGAAATCATTAAGCAGTGTCTTGTCTGCCGGTGTTGCCGCCGCGCTGAAGTGGTACTCTTAAAAATTATTTATGTTTGGCAAGTCTGCCTCTGTGTCGGCTTGATGATCCTGAGGGTTAGTATAGTTGTTTGACCGTGTCGCTCTCTTGTTCAGAACCGTAAGAATGACGAGGCGTCCTATGAGAAGATGCTGAAGCTCCGGAGGGAGTTCAGCCGCACGGTCACCATCCTGGAGATGATCAAGAGGAGGGAGAAGAGCAAGAGAGAGCTGCTGCACCTCACACTGGAGGTGGTGGAGAAAAGGTGAGCCTTAAAAGCATTGAGGGGTTAGAGGGATGGTAGCCGGTGTGTGTGAGATTGTGTGCCCTATTAGTGCCTTGTTTCTCACAGTGTGTGTGATTGTAGCCGGTGCCTTATTAGTGTTGCATGGTGTAACCCAGCAGGGCTTTCTGTGTCAGAGCAGAGCAGACTAGAGGTCATGCTGAGTGATATATTGCAGTTCTCACTTAGTTTCTAACACTGTAACACACTTCTTCTAGTCCTGGTTCTAAAAGAGAACATCTTCTTTCAGCCTGTCCTTACATGTTGTTGATGAATACTGTCAGTCAATATGAATGATGGACAAATTACTACAAATTGCTGCCTTTTTTCCTCCCTTCTGTCTTTTTTACCCTGTATATTGAATTAATGAATGTGTTCCTATTATTTGTGTTTTGTTTCCATGTAGATGTCAGATGGGTGACTTTACGGGTGAAGTCCTCAGTGAGGTGACGGCCCCTCTGGCTGAGAAACCCATCTACACTGCTCCAATCATTCTAACCAACGGGAACCGCCATAACCATAAAGCTGAGGTCAAAATCAAGGTAATATATGGGCTTCTATTGTCCATAACATTACCTCTTTCCTTTTACCTGATGTTTTTACATTTGACAATAAAGCAGTTCAGAAGAGGGGATGCTGCAGGATGCACCGGCAGCACACTGATTTACATTTCAAGAAATTAAATGATTCACATGCAGCAATGACCTCTTTTCACTCTGAACATTTGACCATGAATAAATCTTGTCTGTCTGGCTCTTGACTTCACAATATCTAATTCCACACTTTCCCTTTCAGGCGCACAAGTCAGGTAGTCTCCAGCACCATAGGCACCACCACGTCTCGGTGAAGGACGAGGATCCCTTTGACTTTGTCAGACCAAAGAAGAAGTACACCAGGCGGGACCCCCTGTGCCGCCCTGGCAGGCCCACCAAGCGCCAGCACATCGTTAACAAGGCCGATATCAAACAGTATGACTTCCACAGCTCTGGAGAGGAGGAGGAGGAGGAGGAGGACTACCCACTGGTCAGTACCTCTGAGAACAGGGTTCTGATGATGACAATATCATGGTGGAGAAGTTCATACATTATGTCATATTTGGTTTGTGAGCAAGTATGTATTTTAAAGTCTTGTTTTTTTGGCCTCTTTCAGTCTCCGCCATCAGAACCAGACGAGGAGAACGATCCAGATGGAGCATTTGCCTTCAGAAGGAAAGCAGGCTGTCATTACCTTGCTGTGAGTCTCACTGCAATCAGAAGTGCAATTGAAGTATATTCTCTCACATTCAGTTCCGATTCCACACATTATTACAGGGGCACGTTAGCTTTCAGAAATGTTGAAAATGCAGACCATCCAAGAATCTGTGTTTTTAAACCATTTTCATCTGCGTTTTATACCATTTCACCTGCGTTTTATATTGAAAGTCAGCACTGGCTGCGTCTGAATACCCATATTAGCATACAACATACTTAAACTGCATACTATGTGCTCATCGCCACATACTATTTAGCACGTACCGTTGAGTAGAAAATATGCAGTATGCCGCAACGCAGAAGCGATTCCTGTCTGGCTGAGTAGGTGGGGCGTGGCCTGTGTGCGGGTGGGTTTTCCCAAATTCAACAGACATGCATCACATTAACCAGCCTGATAATAGCTAATTTCTAATTCGATTTTCTCTCAACTCTGAATAGAATAGGAATGGAGTTATAGGCCTATTTAGGCTGGTTACAGGCAGACTATCACATTCGGCCTATACCGTAGCCCATTTATCCTATTTAAAAAGGACTGAAGACAGAAACAGATCATTTGGTTCCATTTCAACATATTTATTAGTGGAAACCAAAGTGCTGTAACATATAGAAATTAATTAAAATAGCCTAGTACACACCAAAACTTTTCAAATGTTCAAATCAAATGGCTAAAGTGAGAAGTGCAGCTGAAGCACAAAATTAGTCCTTTTACGTTCATGATTTGGAGCAAACCCTGACTGAAGCCGTGCAGAATTTCAATAAGAAACATTTTAGATCTGCGTTTACAAGGTGCAGCAATATATTTTTATTTCCTTTTTTACATGAAAAACGCAAAGTCCTGCGTTAACGCGGCCCCTGTTATTAATCTGTGACAATATTGTGGTATTGGGTCTAGTCTGTGGGTAAGATGGTATTTGGTCCTTTCTGTATGGTACTGTGCTGTAGGTAGCTAAATGAGTAAATGTTTCCTCTGTCTGTCTTTGCAGCCCTGTGTGGACCAGAGCTCTGGGCTCCTGTGGGATCACCCTGAGCTGGCAGGGCTGGATGCTCTGCGGCATCGTCACTCCCTTACCGCCCTCTCTGTACCCCAACGCTGTGTGGGACTGGCACGCAGGAGGGTGGGCCGAGGTGGCAGGTAACCAACTCCTCTTATCATCCACCTCTCAATATCTCCTTTTTGGTTATGTATTCTGTTGATTTATTAAGGGCCAATGATACACATGAACTCACATTGTGATTTCTCTAAATGAAATGTGCTTGGATTGTCACTAAGATTCCACAAATTCCCCCTCTTCTCAGGATCCTGTTGGATCGGGCTTCATCAGACCTGGACGGCGCATTAAAGAAGCTGGACTCAGCCGTCTTCACATCCTCCCCCTTCACCAGGCCTTGGGCTCCAGACCTTACTGATCCCCGGCCCTCCTCACAGAACCACAGAACTATGCCTGGCTCTGCCTCCTCACTGGCAGACATCGTGAGCAACATCCAGACCCTGAGGTGGCGCTGTTTCAGACCTAGGCCCACCCAGGGTGACGGCAGTGGGGACGGGAGGATGGGCAGACCTTCCGTGGATACCAGGTTGTCTGGAGGGCTGTTGGTTCACTCCAAGAACAGTGGCTCAGGTGAGTTCCTCCTCAACCCCACCCCATGGTGATTCTAAAGTCCACCCCTCCGTTTCTATCTCTCAACGGCCTTTGCATTTATATGTTGGAACCAAGCCGCTCCCAAACGTCATTTAACTGTATAGGCCTAGTTTCCATGTTGGCTATATTTTTTAAGAATGCTGCTTGCTGAACACATTTGGTTCTCCATTGAAAATAGGCAGGTCAGATGGGATTTGTTTGGATTTGGTTTTCTTTTTCCTCGTCAGCCCCCTGGTTGCAGGCTGTCGTCATGTTTCTCTGCAGTAACTGTTCTTTCTCAGAACTGTCAGCAAGGGTTGATTCATAACTCCCAGTCAGACATGATTTGTGTAGGGAAGTGGAAAGGCTGCCACTGAACTGTAGACTGCTAGGGGGGGTTGCACTTCAAGGAACTTCCAGTCAATCAGTTGTGGCCTCCACTCACTCCTAGCTGCATTTTCTGGAATAGCTCCACTATGACCCCTAGTGTTAGGGAGTGGTAACCCAGGCAGTCTTCATCTCCTCGCCGTATCTTCCTACCTTCAAAGATTACTACAGTTCTCCATCTGCTCATCTTCCCTCCCTCTTTGCTGTGTACACTCCCCCTCTCTGTCTCTCTTTCTCTCTCTTTCTGTCACTGTGTCTTTCCCTGTCTGATGGTCTTCTCCCTGTTCTCCTATACTGACAGGTGGTATCACAGAGGAGCAGTACCAGACTCATCAGCAGGCTCTGGCCCAGATGCAGAAACAGCAGCTGGCTCAACTGCAGCTGAAAGCTCCTCCTCCCCAGCAGCATTCCCCACTGCCAGAGCGACAAAACACACAAGTACACACACCATCTTTCACCTCTTCAAAGATAACTATATACACAGCATTCCTAATGACTTTGGTCCAGTAGGTGGGGCAGAATTCATTGTCATTTGTATTTATATGTTGATATGTTGGTAGGCTTCAAACAGCTCAGCGCATGTTTTGATGTCTGTTATGGCAGTGTTGTTATGTTCTAAAGACTGTCCTAATATTGTGTTGTAGACTTCTGGCTCCGCTGATTGCATCATATCAAAGACTCTGGACTCGGCTAGTGCCCATTTTGCGGCATCAGCTGTGATCAGTGCTCCAGGCCAGGTCAACAATGAGAACAAACCACACAATACCAGCGTCAACGGGGTCGTCCAGCCTTCAGGTGAGCTTCGGATGAACATGTAGTCTAGATTAGAACATGTCATACATTTTAATTCTCTCAGATATTCTATTATAGTTGGATACCATAGTGGGATTGAGGCATTGGTAAACTATTGGAGGATTGAAAACAGACTTGTTGGGTTGTTTCTGATCAGGGGATGCTAAATGACCACCCCACCTCATTAATTTACTTGTAAGGTATGTGCTTATTCAGGTAATAGGCCTACTCAGGTTTGACGGTGTCATATCACCTCTCCTGCAGGGACCTCCAGACCTTTTCACTCCACCAGCACATCCCAGAGTGGCACAGGGTTGGACAGGTCAGGTCTTACCTCCTCCAGCGGAGGCCCTCTGCTACCTGCCCACGCCACCTCCTCCTCGCCCCAGTCTCTGCCCAACCATCGGGGCCACGGCAGTGCTGTCTCTCCTGCCCACCACCACCACAACGCCAGACCCTCTGCCCCCTCGCCGTCTGCCTTAAAGCTGGCCACCGTGGCTGCCAGTAGCCTGGACCGCGTGGCCATGGTGACGCCCGCCTCTGCCATCAGCAGCATGGCCAGGTAAGACCAGAATACATTTCAGTTGTATATATTTTAGTATGTCCGTAACTTCTGCCTCATCAGCACACATAATATATCTCCGTATGTCCATAACTTCTGACCTGTCCAGCAATTACTATAATAATAATATAATATGCCATTTAGCAGACGCTTTTATCCAAAGCAACTTACAGTCATGTGTGCATAAATTTTTACATATGGGTGGTCCCGGGGATCGAACCCACTACCCTGGCATTACAAGCGCCATGCTCTACCAATTGAGCTACAGAGGACCATGATTACTAGATTCTTCATTTCTTGTTCTTTCATTTAGAATGGCTGATATACATCACTTTTGTTTTCATTTTCCAGGCATACGTATTTGCTATGTATCTGAATAATTAATTACTATATTTATTCATTTTTGTAGGGATAATCACGAACCTGAGAGACTTGCATTGAACGGCATATCAGAGACCACAGTACCAATGGAGGTGACATAACCCCCTCCCTTCCTCCTCCCTCATCCCCATTCTGCTTAGACCGGTGAATGTGACAAACGGAACACAAGCTCCAGCCGCAGCCACAAGAGGGCAAGTGTATACAAGGACCTATACAGAATCGAGCATATCAAAATATTATAACAAGTGTCAATATTATAAATGTACATTTTGTAAATTGGGAATATCACTACCTTGTAAGATAGTATATTTGTATCATTAGTATGTTTATTTTTTTCTGTTATGTGAATTCTAGCTAATTTGTCATCATGCCTTTGCACTTGAAAAATGCAAACAATATAGTACATGTCAAAATGCAAAAACCATTTGTGTTGGGATCATGAGAATGAACCACGGATCCTCTATCACTTGTTTTCACTATTTATTTTGCAATGTTTACATTTTTGTATCTAAAGAGAAAACAAATCAGCAAAATATGTTTGCGAAATATGGACATCAGTCTTGCTAGCATATTTGGTTCTTGTGCTTTTTTTTCTAACGATGGAAAAATGAGCCTGATTTTTGATTTGGTTTCACAAATTGAATAGTTATGGTCTTTTTGTAAGTAGATTAATAGTGGCATTTTTTCCCCCTTCAGGCAAGTATTTTCTGTTACTTTGTCAGTTGTAACAGGAATTGATTTGTCTTTTTAATTTTTTATTCTGTTTTCTTTTCCTTTTTCATTCGATGCAGAATTTTCCAAAAACAATGAGGAAATCTTAAAAATGAGCCATTCGCCATACAAACCTATTTATTTACATTTAAATCAAAATGACAAATAAATGCATCCTAAAATCAATCTGCAGATGTAAAGCAGGAAAACATTTTTTATAATATATTTGCCTTTTTAAACGGGTAGGGAGTTTAAGCCAATTAACAGTACACATGAATCTAACCATTCTATCTGTAATGTATTGCGTTGTATAATCTTGCACATTACTTGGCAACTCTGTTGAACGACTACCCCTTTGGATTGGGCGGTGCACATCAATATTTTGGGGTATTTTTTTTCTCCTTTGGTCAAGGGGCAAGTAACATGTTGAAACGATGTCTGATGGTCAGTGATTGACCTCCTGTAGATTAGTGTAGTTGATGTAGTGAATTCCTGTACATGTATTAGAAACCTGTTTAGATAATAATTAGTAATGCCTAGTGTTCATGCACTATTTCTTCAGACATACATTTTTCCCTGTTACTTGTTCTTGGAGTGTTTCAGAAAAAAATGCTGGGAAATAAATAAATATAACTATACATATCAGTATAACAACTCTCTTTCATCTGGTTTAAGCCATTTCTTCACCACTTCTTTGACAGTGAGTTATGTATTTAGCCGTGAGTGAGGTTTTATTGTGGCTCAGGAAAGTTATTGTACGCTACACCTGTTGCTAGGATTTAGTCTTCAGAATGCTATATACTTAGTAGTTATCCTTCACTGCAGTCTGTAAAATGTATTCCAAACAAGGTCAGGAGTGAGGTTGTAGTGTAGGCTAAAACAGGCTTTTGGGCACTTGAGTCCTCTATGGGGACACCACAGACGGCCCCTCATTCATAGGAAACCCACTAGAGGGGAACATCGAGTTGAGTGATTAGCTTTCATGGAATGGATCATATTGGACCATCAATTCCATTTCACACAGAAATAACAGTTTTTGTGGTGATGTTTTCAAATGTAACCTACCTGTATAACACTTTTTTACAACACTTGCTAAGTAAAATTATCGTTACAATCTCTTGCTTTATATCGTATGTCAATATGATTTGACTACTTCTCCCAGAATTCCAAAGAAGTCACGTTCGGGACGCAAGCACGTCAGGCTACCGCAATATCAGCATCCTCACCATCACTTGGGTGGACCTAGGTGGGCTTGACAGCATTAGCGCGAGAAGCTTCAAATTGGTCGATGCTGGTCCTGATGCAAGACGCGTCGGTGAATACGGGAGGTCGGAAGCAAATGTTTGACCACGAAAAGGGGAACTCTCACTCAAATCGACTCTCAAGCGATAGCAGCCAGACCATTCATCAATCTGTTGTTTTCCTTTTAAACAGGTAGACTAGAATTCAGCCAAGCGCCAATCGTTTAATTGACTGGAATGTAGGATTGAGATTAAATATCAGTGAATCACAATGGAAATAAGTGCTTAATTTGACCTCAATAAAAACTGCAGTAAACTTCGCGATAACTAGCCTAGAGAAAGTTTTTTTTGTTATCTGGTTGGATATAACCTAGTGCTGTGGACATGGCCGATGCTGCTGAGTGCGGTGTAAAAGTGATGTGCCGATTCAGGCCTTTGAATGAATCCGAAACCAACAGAGGAGACAAATACATCCCGAAATTCAAAGGCGAAGACACGGTGGTAATAACGGTGAGTAAATCTTAATAATTTGATAGATAGATATACACCTAATCTTCATGGTGTAGTCTACAAAGCCATGATTCACAGGTGCCTAAATTCACTCAAATTCAGTCTGACAAAAGAAACGGTGATGTGCAAGGTGATCATAAACATTGTTTTATAAGAATTAATATATAGGCGGTTAATGGGCATTTGTTGGGAAGAATAATGGTGGAAATGCCAAATAGAGGGACCAATATTTTCATCAAATTTTTTTTATATGCCATTTAGCAGACACTTTTATCCAAAGCGACTTACAGTCATGTGTGCATACATTTTTACGTATGGGTGGTCCCGGGGATCGAACCCACTACCCTGGCGTTACAAGCGCCATGCTCTACCAATTGAGCTACAGAGGACCACAATGATTCCTGAACTCTGCTATCAATGGAAGCATCTCTCCAAATTGGGTCTGGATGGTTCATAATCGAGCCTGTCAACATGATCGAGCTATAGCTGCGTAATTACCCATGATGTATGCTTGTTGTCAATCTGCCAAACAAGCAAGATAGGACTCTGAGTGTTTATCTAGACATCATTTATTCAGGTTGCCTAGTAGTGGTCACAGAATGGACGGTATAATTCACACCTTTCCCCCAAGGGTCTGCCGGTCTGTAGACTGTCAGTGTGTGCTGTCATCAATGGCATTACCAACCTACTATGTCACGTTAAATTGAATTAAATATAACCATCTTCGGCTGTAGATGAAAATGAACTTTCATTGAAAGTTCGTTGTCTCTTATGCTTAGTCATTTCAATGTCATTACATTTCCATCCTGATGAGAAAGCTATGATCTCATAGCCTATAGCAGAACAAGAAGAATTCCTTAATGTCCCTTCATCTTTTTTGCATAGTCACTTTACCCCTACCTACATGAACAAATTACCTTGACTAACCTGTACCCCTGCACATTGACTCGTTACCAGTACCCCCTGTATATAGCCTCATTATTGTTATTTTATTGTTACTTTTTTTTAATTAATATTATTTTTACTTTAGTTTATTTAGTAAATATTTTCTTAACTCTATTTTCTTAAAACTGCATTGTTGGTTAAGGGCTTGTAAGTAAGCATTTCACGGTAAGGTCTACACCTGTTGTATTAGGCTCATGTGACAAATACGATTTGATTTGATTTGATCTCAAAGGTTATTCATTTGAAGGTGAATCATAAAACAAGCTCGCTGAAAGAACAAATAAAAGTCTTATATTGTCAGTACATGGAAGAAAATGAAAACACTGGCTCATGTTTGAAATCAGAATGAGAAGTGACTCCTTTGTAGTGGCCACCCTAAATCAAGGTTTGATTATATTGCTACTACAGCTAGAGGCTCCCAGCATGAGGCCAGTCAGTCTCCATGAGTGGAGCCCATTACAGGGGAAACAGTCTGGTTTGTCTTAGTTTGGCCTGTCTAAACCCATAGAGACGTCATCATTGACCGGACAGTAATTGGAATGGAAAACCTATGTCCTGCCAGGGAGGGGAAGGCAAAAGAGAAAATGGCCGTCAGAAGAGAGAACTGCTGGCTGAGTGAGTTTAAGTAGCGTAAATAAGGACTGTTTTTCACCGGTAATGGGAAAAGGGAGGGGGAGGGCAAGAAGCTGATTGAAGCATTACCTAGGACATCAGACGTGTGTGTGTGTGTTTGTGCACATGTTTAATTTCCCAGTTAGTGTTGGAATAGAGCCTGTGTTGGACTGATCGTATTATGCTCAGGAGGATTTGTGCAGGTAGTCAGTGTGTCTCGTTTGCCGTTGTCTGAGTTCTCCCAGGCTAAGCTGTGCTGTGAAGTACACAAAGTCAGCATACCTATTTCCTCAGTTCTGCCACCAGCCCGCTCCTCTCCCATATGCTAGCAGCATCCTAGCTGTGCCCCTCTTCCTCCTCCTCCTCCTCTTCCTCAGCCTGGGAGGAATATACAACGATCAGTGCCAGGGCATGTTCACTGATCTCTAGCTCATCTTAGGCTGAAAGATGACAGCAGTAAAACACCCATGATGTTTATTATTTGACTGAAGAAATTGATGACTAGACTTACAGTACATCATGTTACTGGAAACCCAGTGATCATTGCTCACACACTGCATGCTTCTGCAAGAACAGATGCTCAGTGGAAAGTATAGGAAGGTGATAGGCCTGGTCATACTCAGTGAGAGTTTCACACGCACAGAGGGTTACGATCCTCAACAGTGCAGCACCTGTCCATGTTTGTATTTGGATAAGAACCTCAGACCTCAATGAAATGTTGAAATGTTTTGCATTACACACTTGGGATTGGAAAAAAAAAATAGATAGTTACATATCGAGATATTATTTTTGACGATATATCGTATCATTTTGACAATATCGCAATATTATATTTGCGCTAGTTTGCTGTAGCTGCACCAACACTCCAGTATTTTTCCTTCATAGCTTGTTCTCCATCTTATTTTTAATCAGGAGCCCATTTGTTTTCAGAACTCTTATTTCCATGACTGATCAAAACTCATTTTCTCATGGCTCTCTCTTGTCCCTCTGCAGCAGACATACGGTGAGCAATATGTTTAATAAAAAGCATGAGCTGGCGCACACCCAGAGAACATCCTTTAGTGTAGAGGTGCTGACCAATGGAGAATAAACTGTAAGCTACAAAAACTAAATAAAGAGAGTCGTACACTCTATGTATAAACTCCCAGTAATTTATTGGGTAAGAAACCACCAACGTTTCGGCACCACTGTGCCTTCTTTAGATCAAATCGCAATAAAATCAAAGTATCGAATCGCAACACGTATAGAATCGTGAGAATCGCAATACATATTGTATCGTGATAATATCGTATTGTGAGGTCCCTGGTAATTCCCAGCCCTATTACACACCCTTATGTTGAGGCTTATAGCGATCTGTGATTTTTTTTTTCATAGGTTAGAATATCTAGCTAAATGTCCCCTCCCTGCTATTGTTCCAAGTTATTGGGTTAATCATCACAAAATTTAAGCTGGAGGATCGGATCCAACATGAACAGTTGTAACAAACTGTGGACACAGTAGCTTAACACATGCACATATATTATAGGCCTACTGTGACTGCATTTAACTAAATTCCCCACATTATGGGCTGTTAAATAATGAATCAGAATGGAAGGCAGGTTCTCTTTGTGCCGACACGTCAGCCGTTAGTGTTTGCCTTAGCCCAGGGGAAGGTGTGGGGGTATGGTTGCATAAGGCCAGACCAGACAGAGGAACATTAATGCATGGATCGTTTGTAAAGGGGGCCCCATGGGGGTTCAGTATGAAAAATGTATGCACTCACTAATTGTAAGTCGCTCTGGATAAGAGCATCTGCTAAATGACAAAAAATAAAAATAAAAGGTAACCCACACAAACACACACATTTAGGCCTACTCTTGTTCTTTCTGTCTGTTACACTAAATCAGATAGATAGATTAAGAAATAAATTACATATTTACTAGAAGTCTAGAGTAGATCTACATATCATGCAAAATAAAGCAATGCACCATGTAATCCTCTTATTCTTGCCCTGACATTTAGAGGTATTGATTTGCAGCTTCATTTCCATTGTGTAACCTACAGTAGTCTAATTGCTTATCAGAGAGAAGCTGATGATTTCATGCACATAATTACAAAGCTTCAAACAGCCTTACACCAGTCGCGAAATAAATAGGGAAATAAAAATAACTTGAATGATTAAACAGATACAGAGGATATACACTGAGTGTACAAAACATTAGTAGCACCTTCCTAATATTGAGTTGAACCCCCTTTTGCTCTCAGAACAGCCTCAATTCGTCGGGGCATGGACTCTAGAAGGTGTTGAAAGTGTTCCACAGGGATGCTGGCCCATGTTGACTCCAATGCTTCCCACGGTTATGTCAAGTTGGCTGGATGTCCTTTGGGTGGTGGCCCATTCTTGATACACACGGGAAACTGTTGAGCGTGAAAAACACAGCAGCGTTGCAGTTCTTGACACACTCAAACCGGGGAGCCTGGCACCTACAACCATACCCCGTTCAAAGGCACTTAAGTATTTTTGTCTTGCCACTTCACACTCTGAATGGCACACATACACAATCCATGTCTCAATTGTTTCAAGGCTTAACAATCCTTCTTTAACATGTCTCCTCCCCTTCATAGCTTTCACCTGGATTCACCTGGTCAGTCTATGTCTTGTTTTGTACACTCACTGTACATTCTGGGAGAAATCTCAAAATCCTCATACTTTTTGAGGCTTGGGGGCTCAGCTGTGTGTAATATATTTTTTGTGACTCTCAATTAGAGAGAGCATTAAATTGCCTGTGAAATCTTTAATTGGAAAAAGCACAGCAAAACACCATTTATGATTGTGTCCCTTTGATTTTGTTTGATCCTGTGCATGATTGGTTGTCAAAGTTCACATACAGAGATCTTTATCAACATGTTGCCCATATAAGATCTGTGATGTGCTGCAATAAGGTTTACCTCTCAATCTCTGTTTATTTTGTGTGGGGTGGAGGTGAACACATGAACATATGGTGGTGGGGGTGAAACCATTAACATATGGGGGTGGGGCAGGATTGGCTTTGGTTGAGACATTCAAGTCACAGATTTAGACAAAGCCCCACTACAGAATTCAACGGGGAAGGTGCATAAAGATGGAGGAATTCAGATATGACGTCATTGTTTTTAGCACTACCCACAGAGTTCTTAAACTACGGTGTGCGACATGGATAAATGTGTGTGCCAGTAAATCAGCACAATCTCGTCTTTTTTCAAATTCCCGCCTTTGGAACTCAAATTTGGATCATGTATACTGTGCTAATTCCGATACAAAAAAACAGTAACAGAAAGTAATGTACAATACAGCAAATTTAGTAAACAAGACATTTGTGGTAAGTACATGGGGGCCACCATCTTTATGCACCTTCGCCATTGTGCATTTTCACCTTGCCCAAATTCAGTTTTATACGAGTAGTAATGGTGTTTGACACCATGTTTGTCTATACAAATCAAATACAATTTTATTTGTCACATGTGCCGAATACAATGGGTGTAGACTTTAGCGTGAAATGCTTGCTTACTGCGAGCCCTTCCCAACGATGTAGAATGAAAAAAATTGTAACACACGCTATATACAGGGAGTACCAGTACCAGATCAATGTGCAGAGGTACGAGGTATTTGAGGTAGATACAGTTTGTACATGAAGGCAGGGTAAAGTGATTAGACATCAGGAAGATAGATAATAATAAGAGTAAAATCAAAACAGAGTAGCAGCAGTGTAAAAGTATGAGTGTAAAAGTATGAGTGTAAAAGTGTGTGTGCGTGTGTGTGTGAATCTGTGTTTGTGTTGTATCAGTATGCGTGTGTGTGTGTATGTGCATATGTAGTGTATGTGGATGTGTGTGGGTTTTGTGTGAGAATATCATTGGAGTGTGTGTGTGAGTGAGTGTGTATATAGTGTGTATATACTGTACATGTATAGTCTTGTGAGTGTGCATAGAGTCAGTGCAGATAGTCCAGGTAACCATTTAATTAACTATTAGCAGTCATATCATGGCTATTTAGCATTCTTATGGCTTGGGGGTAGAAGCTGTCTTTCATGGACATTGCACTGAACATGTTACTGTCTGCTCTCTCCAGCAGCACTGGTTTAAGTTGACATCCTTATTGAGGCTGTGCAGGACCTCTAAGGCTTATGATACATTCGTGATACAATCATAGTTGCATGGTATTTTAGACACAACTTACTACTATAGCCTCAACCTGTTTTAGACAAACATATACAGTACATCACTTATTTATTAATGTGCACAACAATTATGTATTAGACTACAATGCATAGTGTACTTATTAAGGGAATAGTGTTTTTACAGTATTAAGCAAACAAGCTCAGCCTTGTTTCAGTTCTATTGCTGTCTCTGTGTGTACTTAAAGAGGTGAAATATAGCTGTGTCTTTGTTTGGTTGAGAAACAGGGCCGCGGCTGGAGCGATGCGATGCAGCTGGGTCTCTTGGGTAATTTTGTTTCCATGACGATGTATGCTGGATGTCATTAGAGATGATTGAAAGGGGAGCAGGAGGTCCCAGGCTAGAGTCATCGTCACCAATTACAAACACACAGACCTACACATGCGTACAATGCATAAAAAACCCTTTACAAATACAGTCACACATGCTCGCTCTCTCTCGCTCTCTCTCGCTCTATCTCTCGCTCTATCTCTCGCTCTCTCTTTGTATTAGGTTTGCTATACAGTACAAGAGCTCTCATGTTGCCTTATAGGTAACACAAAGAAGTTAGGTACAGTATACTCTGCTAAAAACATTCCTAGTCAGGTGGTCTTCCACCATAGTGATGTGCACACAGTGAGAGCATGTTCATTTAATAATGCCTGAACTGAATCCTTTGTCAGGGATGGAAACATCATGCAGCCCAGAAGAGCAAAGGTCTTGGCTTCCTTTGGGACAGCACATAAATTATTGAGAGGTCAAACGTGTGTGTGTGCGTGCGTGCGTGTGTCCATTTGCGTGTCTGTGTGTCCACGCATCATTTATTGAGCTTGTGGAATAGTGTATGTGTGGTCACATGCGTTTGTAAATCGTGCATACTGCTGCAATACTGCTATGGGTTTTCCATTTGACTTTCAAGCTTGGCTGAGGTAATGCTCATAAGTCATTTAGAACACATGGAGTTTATTGAGCTGAGGTGAATTTATGGTATGGTACAATTTAATTCCATATTGAAATTCCATATTGACTAACCTGTACCCCCGCACATTGACTCGGTACCAGTACCCCCTGTATATAGCCAATTTTTTTAATTTTAAATTTTTACTTTAGTTTATTTAGTAAATATTTTCTTAACTCTATTTCTTGAACTGCATGGTTGGTTAAGGGCTTGTAAGTAAGCATTTCACGGTAAGGTCTACACCTGTTGTATTCGGCGCATGTGACAAATACAATTTGATTTGATTTGAAACGTTCGCGTAAAAAGACATTGAAATTGTTGAGAGTTGAGAGTGGCTACCTTGTCTCTTTGAGATTTTTGGTGGCATGATAACCTTTATAAAACACACAAGCAGTGTCTTACAATTGCTCAAAGGATCTTGCTGAACAAGAGATTAAGACATAGCAGACCGCCTTCCTGTCAGCGAGAGAGAGAGAAGTGTGCAGCACACAACAGCAATCATGTTTCCATCCTCCTCCTCCTCCATCTGCCGAGGGACACCTGGAGCCGGCCGACATCCAATCAGTGCAGGCCTCTCACTGTGGGATGCAGTTTCCATGGCGACCAGGGTCATTGTTGGAGCGACAGCTCTCTCTCTTTAACGCTGTTCGGGTTGACCCCTTGCCTGCGCTATAAAGGCCTGGAAGCCCTCTGTCAGAAAGCTGGTCCAGAACAAAGCAAGACAAAGATAAAACAAGCCGCTTAATATCCTCCTTGGGTTGGGCTTGAATCAAGCTGGACCACACACAGATACACAGGTGGTAGTGGCAGATAATGTATGTGGTCTTTGTTTTCACTGGACCTGGCTATCACTGTCACATTGCCCCATGTCTGTTTCGTATTGATTGATTCCTTATTGTCTTTTTCTCCATAAATTCAGTCGGTCATGTGTGATAGGAAAATAGTGTGGTAGGAAAACAAAGGATGGAGGGGAGACATTTTCAAGACAAGATGGTGTTATGAATGTTTTATAACTGCTGTGTAGGATGTACAGCACGTGGATTCACGTGTCCATCTGTGTGTATGCCATTAATGCCTCTGTGTGTTTGTATGTGCGCTAGAGTTAGAAGTGCTGCAGTCAGCAGTACTATCCCTAAAATATTTTAATCTTGGACAGTGGACAACCAGGTCAGACTGATCTCAAACCCATGACTTCAGTTGAACAAAGAAGAGACCTGGGATGATATACCAGCAGAATTGATGGCTCTTAGAATGGGAGGTTCCTCCTTGCTAAAAGTGGGTCTACTCACCCTGGGGCATTGATGGAATGAGGTGGGGGTGGGATTCAACTAAAGGTCATATGCATATTCCCCTCAAGCAATGGGGTTTCTAGCTATCCTCCAGAGTCCCGGGTTTCATCAAAGCCATTGAAAAAATATATACCAGAACAAGAGTGGATGTACCATGTAGCTAGAATGCTAAAACACTCTTGTCTAGCTTGTTAGTCAGCATAGTAGCTTAAATTGATAGAAAGTCGGTAAACAAAATTACAAACAAATTAGATATTGGACAACTGGAGATAACTCGCCCCAAAATTTGACTGAAAACTAAATACAGTAGAATTTCACAGAATAACTTGAGCCCATAGGGAGAGATGGGCTGGTGTGCTGGCTGTTACACTCCACTGTGTCCGACTAGTTTAGGAAGACTACACTACCCATAATTCCCCCGTGGCCGGCTACAGCCAGCTGTCAGGGAGACTATAGGAACATCAGGGCTGCCTTGCCGTGATGAAACGCTTCTACTAAACTGCACTGTCACGCAACTTAGCTAGGAGAGTAAAACGTTAATGAGTTCTGAATGCTCTCCTTCTGTCTACCTACACTCTGGGGCAGCCAATGTTCCATACAGTGGCACAGAACCACTTGGAATTCCAATTGAAAGCAGTGTTTCTCCTATAATTTTTTTCAGCAGCGGTGGCAAAGTTAGGTTGGGGGAGGGTAGTGGGAGTGGCCAACAGCGCCATCTCCAACCAATATTTTTAGATGACCTACTCTTGGCCCGCACAGACAAAATGTTGCTGTTTTAAAGCTAATTTTCTGCAATTCTACAAATTTTGCCATGGTGGGAGAGACTTTTATAGTTTTAAAGCTAGTTTCCTGCAATTCTACACTTTTTGTCATGGGGCAAAAAAAAAGAAATCTGTTTTAAAGCAAATTTCCTGCAATTCTACAAAATTTTCCATGGCTTATAGCGTGTTCTTATGCTATCTGAGTGACTCAAACATTATAACAAAATCAATGGGGGCCACATGACATTTTGCGAATTTTAGATTCTCCCTGACTGTCTAGTTTTTATTTTGGTGATTGTTAGCTCTCAAAGATTATTTAAAAATATATATATATAGCTCCATTATCTTTTCTACATACTTTATATCTTGTTTTAGTCGTTTAAATTTACACTGAAAACATTTTTCCATCCCAATTTCTTATTTGTTGCATATTTTTGAGTGGCGGCAAATTAATGTAGGGGAAACACTGCACAGACCCTAAATATTTAGTGCTAGCCCTCAACTTCACATTACTGTCTGTTAATGTTGGGCAATAGCTCTTTATGTACCAGGGTTTCAAGGGCATTGCTGTATTATCTTGTTTGTTTATGGTCGCAAACCATCTGTAACTGCAACACTGATCAACAACATTGATCCATGTAAAATGTATGCACGCATGACTGTATGTTGCTTTGGATAAAAGTGTTTGCTAAATGGCATATATTATTATTATAAAAGTATTTGATTAACAGAAAAATGTGCGCTTGTCTCTGTCTCCAAAGTAACATAATAACCTCCAGGCCCATAGTGTAAGGTTGAGACAGGTGACCTGTCCTGTATTGTTGTGACAGGAGAACTGATCCGAGGTCAGGCTAGCGTTGCGCCGGCTCTACCTCAGAGCAGGAGGGGACTGGTTTAGTATGACACCTGCTAGACTGACTGACTCTGAAACAGATCTGGAGAGGACAAGGTCACCAGAGTCAAAGCACCTTGCTTGATGTAATACGGACCCTATTTTATCACCTTGTCAGATTATCAGACCCAGCTAGCAGTCAAAAGATGGAGAAACAGTGAGAAATGCCTGTGATGAAAAGTGTTTAACTTCCATTTAGTTTTGTTGATATGAAAATAACTGAGAGCATTAGCTTGACAATGGTTTCTCAGGGGCAAATGAAAGGTGGAATGAGATGGGGTACTCTCTTGACAGTTTCCTTCCTCCTTTTTTCATGCAGGGCAAGCCTTATGTGTTTGACCGAGTCCTGCCACCTAACACAGCCCAGGAGCAGGTCTACGATGCCTGTGCCAAGCAGATTGTCAAAGGTAAACGCTGTGCCCTATATAGCCCTGTTATCTCACATCCTCATCCTCATCATATCAACTCAGTTTCAGGCCTATTTTCAAAGAGTTAACCCCAGTGTGTTTGTTTTGCAGATGTGTTGGGTGGGTACAATGGAACCATCTTTGCCTATGGCCAGACCTCATCAGGCAAGACCCACACCATGGAGGTAAGTCTGGAGGACATTTTGAGTCCTCATTGGGATTTGTATGAGAACCAAAAAGATTCTGTCAGAGATTAGATTAAGGATAGCAGTATTGAAAATGATATACATAAACAAGGGCATGGGTGACAAAAACAGTACACCAGGATTCACAGGACATGTGACGCTACAGTGCAAGTTTGGCCATTAGCAGCTAGTTTTAAGGAGCTTTACCAGACAGCACAAAGGAGAAGCCCATGGAACATAAAACTGTATAAAGAGGAGATAGAGGTGCAGTCTAGAAGCAGGGTGAACCTTTGGCCTCACTGCCTGCATCATCTGTAGATGGTCTAGTGACCCATTAACTGAGCTGGGAATGACTGGAGCTTAAGCCGTTTCCCTCAGTCATAATCCTAACATGGGAGAGAGTCGCAGAAACATGATTTTTACAGGCGGATCTGAATTGTGCAGTGGTTACTACTCAGGCAGCAGACACCTGAGATTTCACTCACAAACACATTTAAAGCTGTATCTGTCAAACACGTTTGTTTCATTTAAGGGAGGTGCCAGTCAGATAGCATGCAAACACACCAAAAATAAATAAATATATATTTTAGTAAAAATCTCTTGACGTTGAGACTGGTTGTTTTGCGGGTACTATTTAATGAAGCTGCCAGTTGAGGACCTGTGAGGCGTCTGTTTCTCAAACTAGACACTCTAATGTATTTGTCCTCTTGCTCAGTTGTGCACCGGGGCCTCCCACTCCTCTTTCTATTCTGGTTAGAGACAGTTTGCGCTGTTCTGTGAAGGGAGTAGTACACAGCGTTGTACGAGATCTTCAGTTTCTTGGCAATTTCTCGCATGGAATAGCCTTCATTTCTCAGAACAAGAATAGACTGACGAGTTTCAGAATAAAGTTATTTGTTTCTGGCCATTTTGATCCTGTAATCGAACCCACAATTGCTGATGCTCCAGATACTCAACTAGTCTCAAGAAGGCCAGTTTTATTGCTTCTTTAATCAGCACAACAGTTTTCAGCTGTGCTAACATAATTGCAAAAGGGTTTTCTAATTATCAATTAGCCTTTTAAAATTATAAACTTGGATTAGCAAACACAACGTGCCATTGGAACACAGGACTGATGGTTGCTGATAATGGGCCTCTTTACGCCTATGTAGTTATTCCATAAAAAGCTACTGTTTCCAGCTACAATAGCCATTTACAACATTAACAATGTCTACACTGTATTTCTGATCAATTTTATGTTATTTTAATGGACAAAATGATTGCTTTTCTTTCTGAAAACAAGGACATTTCTAAGTGACCCCAAACTTTTGAACGGTAGTGTATATATATATATATATTTGCGAGAAAAATATAATTCCTAATTGTCCTAAGATGGGAACATTCACCAACAGTCCTTCCCTCCTGCTGTGTCTTCCTTCCTTGCATACCTTTATTTAGCCCGACTGCCTATGCCAGACAGCATGCCAAAATAGCAGCGAGGTGCTTCTCTGCCACAGTTCACATGATGTGCCGCCATGCGATTACACAGACAGTATAGCCTCCTATTCAGCTGCAGCCGTTGCCCTGGTAACAGCCCAGAGATTCTTCAGCAAGCTTGAGGATGAAATTGGAAAACATTTATACCATCATTAAGATCCACAGGTTTCCATAGCAGGTGATGGAAGGGTGGGGAAGCGATGGTGGCAATATGATTATCTTCCATGCTAGCTCTGCAAGCCTGACCAGAATGTAAAACTATCCCTGTTATGTGTTTAATCTAAAATGCTATTAAACATCTCTCCATCCTCATCTACCTATACTCATATTACAGTTTGAAGGACATAGCAGCCCTGAGGCGAAGGGCAAACAGTAATAGTCCATTGCAGAGTCAATTATTGCTGAGACAATAACGTTTTTATATTGCGTTTGGGCTGTCTAAGGAGGGGTCAGACTGGGATGGAGATGAGTGGACTAAATTCATGAAGGGATACAGGCTGGCTAAGGAGTATGTAATGAAACCCCCTTGAGGTCCCATGTATATTTCATATTAATATGAGGACATAGGCCTTATGAAGACTAAGGGTGTTTTCACACTTGGTCCCTTTCAGACAATTATTTTGAACTCAGTGCGGATCGCTTAATTTTGTTCACTGTGAACTCTCCAAAGGAACTCAGACCCCTCAAAAGAGCCCCCGAAGCGAACCAAACTGAGGCCATCTTTTGAGGTGGTCTGAGTTCGGTTTGCTTGAATTCCTCTGTCCAGTTCCCATTTTTAGGTCAATGTGAACACAAAGCTCCCCAGGTTCGCTTGTCATTATTCCCGCACCACACACTAGAATAGAATACTGCAACACTGTTTCCCCTGCCATAGCCCCTCACATTGGTGCCACAAAAGAGAGAAGATGATGATGTGCAGGTTCGCAGAAAAAAACGTGTGCTGTTTTTGGATATTAAATGTAAGTAGGTACTGTATATATAGCTGTCCGATAACACGTTCTGATTGAATGGGTTGTCCTGCACTTTGTAAAAACCCAGAGTGCATTGGAAAAAGATCTTGGTTCCTTTCTAAACATAGCAATGTGAATGCAAAGAAGACTCGGACCACAAAATAAGTGAAGTGAACAGGCAAAAGAGTTGAGTCCTCATTCAAAGTCAAGGGCAGTGTGAATACAAAGAGAACTGAGTTCTTTTACCCCAGAGTTTACTTTAAAGAGGACTGAGATCGGTTATTTTAAAGAGGACTATATGTGAAAACACCCTAAGAGGGTGAAGGCTGAAAGAGTTTCCCTCTGTAAGAGCTTGATAGCAGCCTGTGATAAACCTCTATCGCTACTTGTAGTAACCTGACGGAGAGACTGAATATTTTTTGGGTTGTTTTAAATGACAATACTTTCACTTTTCCTCATACTTGCTGTCTTGGGTCAAATGTATCATTTTCTTCACATATATTTTGTGAGCAGCGTTTTTTTTGCACAAGCAGTTTTTTATATTGTCATGTTTTGGGGATGTTGGATGTTGTTTGTTAAAGAGGGTGTGTTCTCAATCTCAGGGCAAGCTCCATGACTCCCAGCTGATGGGTATCATCCCCCGTATCGCCAGGGACATCTTTGACCACATCTACTCCATGGATGAGAACCTGGAGTTCCACATCAAGGTAACATACACATCATGGAATGGCCCCTCTGAGCCTTGGGCTAGATGCTCAGTCAGTGTCCATGCGTTGTAGCTTAGCTTGCCTTCAAAGCATATAGTCTGTGTTCATATGGCAGGATTTGTCAAAAGGCTAAGCTGAGTGTACTATGTATACAATAGCTTTTGTAAATATAATATATGAATATAAAAAAATATATTTTTGAATGGCATTTGTATTTACTGTTACAAAACCAAACCAAACCATCAGGTGCATAAAATGTGAATGGAACAGGTGCTGTGGTGGCTGAGGGTTAGTCCAGTGCTCATTGCTGTGTTAGTGTTAGTGACAGGACCCACAGAGGCGTCTGCTGAGGTGCCAGCTCTGCTGGGGTGGCCTAGATGTACCATATGGTTACTGCAGTGACACCTTCAGCTGGTGACTGTGTGGCTGTGTGTGTGGCCTCTAGTAACTCAAATTGAAATGTTACAACACAAAAGCCTAGGAACCCAAGTGTTCATCTGTTAGAACAGTGAATCTTTCACCAAGGGCAAGACTGGCACAGGACCAATGCTATCTGTTTGTTTATGCTGTGTGTGATATATTTTGTGTCTATAGGTCTCCTATTTTGAAATCTACTTAGACAAAATCAGAGACCTATTGGATGGTGAGTAAAGACTTTCTTTTTAGTTTGACTAAGTTCAGATTTGTAAATAGTGATGTGGACAATTCTGATGTATATAGTTTCTGCTATTTTTCATTTTAAGTGTCAAAGACCAACCTAGCAGTACATGAGGACAAAAACAAGGTGCCCTATGTTAAGGTGGGTATCCATTATCTGTTGCTAAAGTAGTTGATAATATGATTGTTCCTTCTCTAAGCACAGTAATATTTCAGGTCATTACCCCACAATCTAGTGGTTCTGATGTAACATTTTCCTCACCTTCACACATATTCCCACTTTTCCACAAAGGGCTGTACGGAACGCTTTGTGTCCAGTCCAGAAGAGGTTATGGATGTCATCGATGAGGGAAAATCCAATCGTCATGTGGCTGTTACAAGTATGTGCTTCTCTTTTCCTCCGGAATCACTTAAGTACGTGTTTAATAAAGAAATGTTGCAAGAATGTTGCGAACTACCCATTGATATCCAGTGATTCAGCAAAAGACTGCCCATTTTCTATGCTAGCACTCAAATGTTGTGCTGCTGTTTGTTCGTCCATACAGACATGAATGAGCACAGTTCTCGCAGTCACAGCATCTTCCTGATCAACATCAAGCAGGAGAACATAGAGACAGAACTGAAGCTGTCAGGAAAACTCTACTTGGTGGATCTGGCTGGCAGTGAGAAGGTCAGAGTGGTTTTCCCTCTTTCTACGCTTTTCTACCCTCCATCTCCTTCTAACATCCCTCTCCTCTCCCTTTCTCACTTGGTCTTCCCTTCCTCTCTCCCCGCCCACTTCTCTCCCTCTCCTCTTCCTCTCTCCATCCCTCTCCCCTCTCCTCTCATTCTCTCACGCTCTTCAATAAATCACATTTAAAATAACCTCTATACACAGCATTTTGATTGAAGACCTATCAGAAGGCCTATCTGTCCACACACCTTGTTTGTACTGACATCCTGCTGTGGGTATTTATTATCCTCCTGTTCTCCAGGTCAGTAAAACTGGGGCAGAGGGATCTGTGTTGGACGAGGCCAAGAATATCAATAAGTCCCTCTCCGCCCTGGGGAACGTCATCTCAGCTCTGGCTGAGGGAACCGTAAGTTATACGTCTCTTTCACTGTGTTGTAGTTCTCTCGCTCTCTTTCACACACCCACTCTCTTTCCTGTTGGTAGTTTCGTTCTTTTCATGTTTGTCTGTCTTTATTTTGCTTTTTCCTTTTTGCTATCTGTCTTCTTTTTCTTTCGTTTCTATCTTTCTATTCTATTCTTCTATTCCTTCTCTCTTCTCTCGCTCATCTTCTTCTCTCTCTCTCTCTCTCTCTCTCTCTCTCTCAATTCAATTCAATTAAAGGGCTTTATTGGCATGGGAAACGTTATGTTAACATTGCCAAAGCAAGTGAAGTAGATAGTAAAACAAAAGTGAAATAAACAAGAAATATTAAACAGTAAACATTACACTCAGAAGTTCCAAAAGAATAAAGACATTTCAAATGTCATATTATGTATATATACAGTGTTGTAACAATGTGCAAATAGTTAAAGTACAAATGGGAAAATAAATAAACATAAATATATATTTACAATGGTGTTTGTTCTTCACTGGTTGCCCTTTTCTTGTGGCAACAGGTCACAAATATTGCTGCTGTGATGGCACACTGTGGTATTTCACCCAGTAGATAAGGGAGTTTATCAAAATTGGGTTTGTTTTCGAATTCTTTGTGGATCTCTGTAATCTGAGGGAAATATGTGTCTCTAATATGGTCATACATTTGGCAGGAGGTCAGGAAGTGCAGCTCAGTTTCCACCTCATTTTGTGGGCAGTGTGCGCATAGCCTGCCTTCTCTTGAGAGCCAGGTCTGCCTACGGCGGCCTTTCTCAATAGCAAGACTATGCTCACTGAGTCTGTACATAGTCAAAGCTTTCCTTAAGTTTGGGTCAGTCACAGTGGTCAGGTATTCTGCCACTGTGTACTCTCTGTTTAGGGCCAAATAACATTCTAGTTTGCTCTGTTTATTTGTTTAATTCTTTCCAATGTGTTAAGTAATTCTCTTTTTAGTTTTCTTGTGATTTGGTTTGGGTCTAATTGTGTTGTTGTTGTTGTCCCGGGGCTCTGTGGGGTCTGTTTGTGTTTGTGAACAGAGCCCCAGGACCAGCTTACTTAGGGGACTCTTCTCCAGGTTCATCTCTCTGTAGGTGATGGCTTTGTTATGGAAGGTTTGGGAATCACTTCCTTTTAAGTGGTTATAGAATTTAACGGCTCTTTTCTGGATTTTGATCATTAGTGGGTATCGGCCTAATTATGCTCTACATGCATTATTTTGTGTTTTTCGTTGTACACAGAGGATATTTTTGCAGAATTCTGCATGCAGAGTCTCAATTTGGTGTTTGTCCCATTTTGTGAATTCTTGGTTGGTGAGCGGACCACAGACCTCACAACTCTCTCACACACACACACACACACACACACACACCTCCGCTCTCGAGGGTGTGTGACGGAGGAGGAGTTACTCTCGCGGCGATGCTAGACGCTGAGTATAGAGAGGAGCTAGCGCGTGCTAGCGAGAGGAGCCCTCTCTTCGCTCTCGAGAGGAGAAAGCAGAGAGAGAGAGCCTCTTAAGGGAGATTCCTCTCTCTCTCTCTCTCTCTCTCTCTCTCTCCCTCTGTCTCTCCTATTTTACTAAAATGTCATTTTGCATGTGACGTGAATATAAAAAATTCTATAAAATAGCATTTGGTTACAGATGTTGTCTCATTTGTAAAGCTTCTCTTGATCTCCTCTCTTCCCCTCCTATAGAAAACCCATGTGCCCTACAGAGACAGTAAGATGACCCGTATCCTGCAGGACTCTCTGGGGGGAAACTGTAGGACCACCATTATCATCTGTGCCTCCCCCTCTGTCTACAACGAGGCTGAGACAAAATCCACCCTCATGTTTGGACAGAGGTTAGCACTCATACGACACACACTGTAGGAGGGTGTCCAGTGTATCTCTTCTAGTCAGTCTGCAAGTGTGAATTTATTTGTGTGTAATTATGTGTGCCCTCATGGGGTTGTAGTGAAAATAGAGATTAGATCTCTAATGAGTCTAGGAAGACCAGCTGTGACCTTGTTGTAATGCTGCTGTTTAACCGACAGCCAACAGCGAGGGTGATAAAGAAATCAATGTAGATTACTGGAGTGTTGTAGTTCAGTGTCAGAAAAAACACAGTTCAAGGATGGACAAACTTTTTACCTTCAGTACATATACACTATTTGTGCATAATACTAATATATGCCCTCTTTCATAAGCAATTCCCTTGCCAATGGACTTCCATCATCAATGTCAAACTGATGGAATCTCTCACTACGATCTTATCTCTCGTCAGAGCGAGCGAGCGAGAGCGAGAGAGAGAGAGCGGAAGAGAGAAGAGAGGAAGCGAGAGGAGCAGTCTATCTAGCAGATGAGAGAGAGATAGCGACGACGCATTATCTCTCTCTATGATCTCTCTCTCTCTCTCTCTACTCTCTCTTCTCGTCTTCTTCTCTCTCTTCTCTCTCTCTCTCTCTTCTCTCTCTCTCTCTCTCTCTCTCTCTCAATGTTGCAGAGCGAAGACCATTAAGAACACAGTGTCAGTGAACCAAGAGCTGACAGCTGAGGAATGGAAGAAGAAGTATGAGAAGGAGAAAGAGAAGACTAAAGGCCTGAAATACGTGATCCAGAAGCTAGAGACCGAGCTCAAACGCTGGAGGAAAGGTAACAAAGAAAGAGAGTAGAGGAGTGAGAGAGAGAATGAGAAAGAGAGAGAGCTGTGTAGCAATTGTGGTCGAACCAGACTAGAATCCTGATAAGCGCATCTCGAATGCAAGGCACACACAGTACATGGAAATCAGTATGATCATTTACACAAACCCACTGTCATTTATTTGACTGTGCTCCTAGTTACTCTACTACAGGAGCATCAGAGAGACTTAAGATGTTTGCAGACATCTCCCAGCTACTCCTGGAATATGGAAGCTAAGGACTTAACTTGTATTCAGAGCTCATGGGGTTGTAGGGGATGTTGAACCCCGTTTTGATTTTATTAAATTACTTTGATAAAAGTCATATAGAAGACCTCTGGATGACTCAGAGGAGTTTTGTTCATCCTATTCACATTGTAGAGTCACTGAACACATACAGTGCATTCGGAAAGTATTCAGACCCCTTCCCTTTTTCCACATTTTGTTACGTTACAGCCTTATTCTAAAATGAATTAAATTAATTGTTTTCCTCATCAATCAACACACAATACCCCATAATGACAATGTGAAAACAGGTTTTTAGAAATGTTTGCATTTTACATTTTAGTCATTTAGCAGACGCTCTTATCCAGAGCGACTTACAGTTAGTGAGTGCATACATTTTTCATAGGTGTTCAGACCCTTTGCTATTAGTCTAAAAATTGAGCTCAGGTGCTTCCTGTTTCAATTGATCATCCTTGAAATATTTCTACAACTTGATTGGAGTCCACCAGTGGGAATTCAATTGACTGGACATGATTTGGAAAGGCAAACACCTGTCTATATAAGGTCCCAAAGTTGACAGTGCATGTCAGAGTAAAAACCAAGCCATGAGGTCGAAGTAATTGTCCGTAGAGCTCAGAGACAGGATTGTGTTGAGGCAAAGATCTGGGGAAGGGTACCAAAACATTTCTGCAGCATTGAAGATCCCCAAGAACACAGTGGCCTCCATCATTCTTAAATGGAAGAGTTTTGGAACCACAAAGAGTCTTACTAAAGCTGGCCGCCTGGCCAAACTGAGCAATCGGGGGAGAAGGGCCTTGGTCAGGGAGGTGACCAAAAACCCGATGGTCACTCTGACAGAGCTCCAGAGTTCCTCTGTGTAGATGGAAAAAACTTCCAGAAGGACAACCATCTCTGCAGCAATCCACCAATCAGGCCTTTATGGTAGAGTGGCCAGACGGAAGCCACTCCTCAGTAAAAGGCACATGACAGCCCGCTTGGAGTTTGCCAAAAGGCACCTAAAGGACTCTCAGACCATGAGAAACAAGATTCTCTGGTCTGATGAATCCAAGATTGAACTCTTTGGCCTGAATGCCAAGCGTCACGTCTGGAGGAAACCTGGCACCTTCCCTACGGTGAAGCATGGTGGTGGCAGCATCATGCTGTGGGGATGTTTTTCAGTGGCAGGGACTGGGAGACTAGTCAGGATCGAGGGAAAGATGAATGGAGCAAAGTACAGAGAGATCCTTGATAAAAACCTGCTCCAGAGCGCTCAGGACCTTAGACTGGGCGAAGGTTCACCTTCCAACAGCACAACGACCCTAAGCACACAGCCAAGACAACACAGGAGAGGCTGTGAACCCGATCGAACGTCCCTTGAGAGACCTGACAATAGCTGTGCAGCGACGCTCCCCATCCAACCTGACAGAGCTTGAGAGGATCTGCAGAGAAGAATGGAAGAAACTCCCCAAATACAGGTGTGCCAAGCTTGTAGCGTCAACAAAGTACTGAGTACTTTTTTTTACAGCCCTCTAACCAATTGTACTATTATGTGTGTTTTTCCGCGTTATTTGTAATTTATTCTGTACATAATGTTTCTGCCATCGTCTCTTATAACCAAAAAGAGCTTCTGGATATCAGGACTGCGATTACTCACCTCGTATTGGACACATTTTTCTTCAACAAATCGGACGCCAAGGATATCCTACAGACACCCGACAAGGCCCAAATCCCCGTCATTTGCATGAGAAAGAGACGGAGATATCGTGGACGTAGGTCGGGGTGCCTTGTAAGGATCCGACGGCGAGCGAGTAAACTGCCTCTTCCATCAATCCTATTAGCCAATGTTCAATCATTTGAGAATAAATTGGATGACCTATGATTACAGTTATCCTACGGGACATTAAAAACTGTAATATCTTATGTTTCAACAAGTCGTGGTTGAACGACGACATGGACAACATACAGCTAGCGGGCTATACGCTACATCGGCAGGATAGAACGGCTGACTCCGGTAAGACAAGGGGTGGCGGTCTGTGTATATTTGTAAACAACAGCTGGTGCACAAAATCAAATAATAAGGAAGTCTCAAGGTTTTGCTCGCCCGAGGTAGAGTATCTTATGATAAGCTGTAGACCACACTATTTACCAAGAGAGTTTTCATCTATATTTTTCATAGCTGTCTATTTACCACCACAAACCAATGCGGGCTTTAAGATTGCACTGAATGAGCTGTATGAGGCCATAAGTGAACAGGAAAACGCTCATCCAGAGGCAGTGCTCCTAGTTGCCGGCGGACTTTAATGCAGGGAAACTTAAATCCGTTCTACCTAATTTCTATAATGTTAAATGTGCAATCAGAGGAAAATAAACTCTAGACCACCTTTACTCCACACACAGAGACGCATACAAAGCTCTCCCTCGCCCTCCATTTGGCAAATGTGACCATAACTCTATCCTCCTGATTCCTGCTTATAAGCAAAAACTAAAGTAGGAAGCACCAGTGACTCGGTTAATAAAAAAGTGGTCAGATGACGCAGATGCTAAGCTACAGGACTGTTTTGCTACCACAGACTGGAATATGTTCCGGGATTCTTCAGATAGCATTGAGGAGTACACCACATCAGTCACTGGCTTCATCAATAAGTGCATCGATGATGTCGTCCCCACAATGACCGTACGTACATACCCCAACCAGAAGCCATGGATTACAGGCAACATCCGCACTGAGCTAAAGGGTAGAGCTGCCACTTTCAAGGAGCGGGACTCTAACCCGGACGCTTATAAGAAATCCTGCTATGCCCTCCGACGAACCATCAAACAGGCAAAGAGTCAATACAGGACTAAGATTAAATCGTACTACACCGGCTCTGACGCTCGTCGGATGTGGCAGGGCTTGAAAACTATTACAGACTACAAAGGGAAGCACAGCCGCGAGCTGCCCAGTGACACAAGACTTCCAGACGAGCTAAACCACTTCTATGCTCGCTTCGAGGCAAGCAACACTGAAGCATGCATGAGAGCACCAGCTGTTCCGGATAACTATGTGATCATGCTCTCCGTAGCCAATGTGAGTAAGACTTTTAAGCAGGTCAACATTCACAAGGCCGCAGGGCCAGACGGATTACCAGGACGTGTACTCCGAGCATGTGCTGACCAACTGGCAAGTGTCTTCACTGACATTTTCAACATGTCCCTGACTGAGTCTGTAATTCCAACATGTTTCAAGCAGACCACCATAGTCCCCGTGCCCAAGGACACTAAGATAACCTGCCTAAATGACTACCGACCCGTAGCACTGACGTCTGTAGCCATGAAGTGCTTTGAAAGGCTGGTCATGGCTGACATCAACACCATTATCCCAGAAACCCTAGACCCACTCCAATTTGCATACCGCCCCAACAGATCCACAGATGATGCAATCTCTATTGCACTCCACACTGCCCTTTCCCACCTGGACAAGAGGAACACCTACGTGAGAATGCTATTCATTGACTACAGCTCAGCATTCAACACCATAGTGCCCTCAAAGCTCATCACTAAGCTAAGGATCCTGGGACTAAATACCTCCCTCTTCAACTGGATCCTGGACTTCCTGACGGGCCGCCCCCCCAGGTGGTAAGGGTAGGTAACAACACATCTGCCACACTGATCCTCTACACAGGGGCCCCTCAGGGGTGCGTGCTCAGTCCCCTTCCTGTACTCCCTGTTCACCCATGACTGCATGGCCAGGCACGACTCCAACACCATCATTAAGTTTGCCGACGACACAACAGTTGTAGGCCTGATCACCGACAACGATGAGACAGCCTATAGGGAGGAGGTCAGAGACCTGGCCGTGTGGTGCCAGGATAACAACCTCTCCCTCAACGTGACCAAGACAAAGGAGATGATTGTGGACTACAGGGGAAAAAAAGAGGACTGAGCACGCCCCCATTCTCATCGACGGGGCTGTAGTGGAACAGGTTGAGAGCTTCAAGTTCCTTGGTGTCCACATCACCAACGAACTATCATGGTCCAAACACACCAAGACAGTCGTGAAGAGGGCACGACAATGCCTATTCCCCCTCAGGAGACTGAAAAGATTTGGCATTGGTCCTCAAATCCTCAAAAAGTTATACAGCTGCACCATCGAGAGCATCCTGACTGGTTGCATCACCGCCTGGTATGGCAACTGCTCGGCCTCCGACCGCAAGGCACTACAGAGGGTAGTACCTACAGCTCAGTACATCACTGGGGCCAAGCTTCCTGCCATCCAGGACCTCTATACCAGGCGGTGTCAGAGGAAGGCCCTCAAAATTGTCAAAGACTCCAGCCACCCTAGTCATAGACTGTTCTCTCTGCTACCGCACGGCAAGCGGTACCGGAGTGCCAAGTCTAGGTCCAAAAGGCTTCTTAACAGCTTCTACCCCCAAGGCCATAAGACTCCTGAACAGCTAATCATGGCTACCCTGACTATTTGCATTGCCCCCCCCGCCCCATCTTTTTACGCTGCTGCTACTCTGTTAATTAATTATGCATAGTCACTTTAACTCTACCCACATGTACATATTACATTTACATTTTAGTCATTTAGCAGACGCTCTTATCCAGAGCGACTTACAGGAGCAATTAGGGTTAAGTGCCTTGCTTAAGGGCACATCGACAGATTTTTCACCTAGTCGGCTCGGGGATTAGAACCAGCGACCTTTCGGTTACTGGCACAACGCTCTTACCCACTAAGCTACCTGCCGACCCTCCAACTACCTCAACTAGCCGGTGCCCCCCTGTATATATAGCCTCCCTACTGTTATTTTATTTTACTTCTGCTCTTTTTTTCTCAACACTTTTTTGTTGTTGTTTTATTTTACTTTTTTATTAAACAATAAATACACTGTTGGTTAAGGGCTGTAAGTAAGCATTTCACTGTAATGTCTGCACCTGTTGTATTCGGCGCATGTGGCCAATAAAATTTGATTTGATTTGATTTTAGTAAAGGGTCAGAATACTTATGCAAATGTGATTTTTTTCAGTTTTTTAAAATACATTTGCTAGAATTTCTAAAAACCTGTTTTTGCTTTTTCATTATGGGGTATTGTGTGTAGATTGATGAGGGAAAAAAACAGTTTAATCAATTTTAGAATAATGCTGTAACAAAATGTGGAAAAAGTAAAGGGGTCTGAATACTATCCGAATGCACTGTATGTGTAGAATATGCTTCTCTAATGGGGTAGGATGGGGACTGAGGATGTTTTCCAAAACCACACATCCGTTCACTCATTCTGTTTCCAGTTCTGTCATTTACTCACTGCTTAGTTCTCCCTTTGCAAGCTTTGTTTTTTCAAAATAAAACTTTGTCAGAATAAATAGGTCGGTTGATGTTAGGATTTTGGCCAGCAGGCAATTTGGCGTCTTAGTTTCGGCTATGTTCTGAGTGAGTGACCTGGATAGAGGATGTTGTCTCTCAAAGTAATGGCCTTATTTAGACTTATTCTGTTTTCATCAAAAGTATGTTCATCATGAAATGCATTCTGGATGCTATGTTTGCAACGATCACAGCCCTCCAATCAGTACTCAGGCAGCAACCTGCTGTGCTTATATGCCTCCCTTTGTACTTTTGTATTCATGAGATTGTGCAGATTGTGAATAATATTAGTAAGCACACATATCTCCTATTTGCATTGCAAAATAATGCAAGCTGTAAGGCATCAACAGATTGTTGATACTCCCAAATGGGGTACATTGTATATTCATGCAGCATGTGAAGACCAGTATGGTCAGGGTTCTCCATTGTGGAGGATAGAGAGAGATGTAATGTCACAATATTCTAGCAGTGCGCCCACCACAGTATACTGTATTAGCTGACGGTGCGGACTGACTGTTGCCACGGCTACCCATCATTTCTTTACTGAAAGTGTATTTCCACTCTCTCTCAGAGATAAGATAACACATTCAGACGCTGCATTGTAGATTAGCCACAGCTACAAATGCCCAGACGGTCCTTGAAGATGGCAGAGTGCTCTCTGACTCTGGATCTCTGAAGTAGAAGTTCCCCCCACCCCCCTCCCTGAGCTCTGTCTGCTTATAACTCTACCTCCCACCTCCGCCCCCATCCCTCGCTTTTCCGCCTTATCTCAAGGTCTGCATGAGAGCTACACAACACAGACTCATCCATCTTTCCCCCTTTCTGCTGTGAGAGGATTATCTCTGGGTGTGGTGGTGTTTGGCTGGTCGGCACGGTCGGGGGCTAAGCCTCTTGCCTGGGGTCTGCCAGCGGGTATCAGCCTCATCACCTGTCACATTCTACATGTCCCAATGTCCCTGTCTCCTGTGGAAATGGCACTGTCAGGGGTTTGTGTTGGGCTGTGTTCTGTTTATGGGATGGAACGAAAGTAGTTACACGGAGATAATATAAATGATTCTCCTCTGAGCTAAGACGATTTCTGTACAGTTTGTTTTGTTTCTCCCTCACTCTCATGTTATGAATGTGATAAGGATGTATAGGCACATTTAGTGAGCTAAAATCTGTCAAAGCTGTCCATGCTTTCCCTCTCCACAACCAAACAACTTACAGTGCATTCAGAACGTAAATAAATAAATCATCATCAATCTACACACAATACCCCATAATGACAAATCAAAAACAGGTTTTTAGACATTTTTGCAAATGTAAAATAATATTTAAAAAATACCTTATTTACGTAAGTATTGAGACCCTTTGCTATGAGACTCGAAATTGAGCTCAGGTGAATCCTGTTTCAATTGACCATCCTTGAGATGTTTCTACAACTTGATTGGAGTCCACCTGTGGTAAATTCAATTGATTGGACATGATTTGGAAAGGCACACGTCTGTCTATATAAGGTCCCACAGTTGACAGTGCATGTCAGAGCAAAAACCAAGCCATGAGGTTGAAGGAATTGTCCATAGAGCGCCGAGACAGGATTGTGTCGAGGCACAGATCTGGGGAAGGGTACCAAAAATGTCTGCAGCATTGAAAGTCCCCAAGAACACTGGGGCCTCCATCATTCTTAAATGGAAGAAGTTTGGAACCACCAAGACTCTTCCTAGAGCTGGCCGCCTGGCCAAACTGAGCAATCGGGGGAGAAGGGCCTTGGTCAGGGAGGTGACCAAGAACCCGATGGTCACTCTGACAGAGCTCCAGAGTTCCTCTGTGGGGATGGGAGAACCTTCCAGAAGGACAACCATCTCTGCAGCACTACACCAATCAGGCCTTTATAGTAGAGTGGCAAGAAGGAAGCCACTCCTCAGTAAAAGGCACATGACAGCCCGCTTGGAGTTTGCCAAAAGGCACCTAAAGTACTCTCAAGACCATGAGAAACAAGATTATCTGGTCTGATGAAACAAAAATGTAACTCATTGGCCTAAATGCCAAGTTTCACATCTGGAGGTGGCAGCATCATGCTGTGGGGATGTTTTTTAGCGGCAGGGACTGGGAGACTAGTCAGGAACGAGGGGAAAGATGAACGGAGCAAAGTACAGAGAGATCCTTGATGAAAACCTGCTCCAGAGCGCTCAGGACGTCAGACTGGGGCGAAGGTTCACCTTCCAACAGGACAATGACCCTAAGCACACAGCCAAGACAACGCAGGAGTGGCTTCGGGACAAGTCTCTGAATGTCCTTGAGTGGCCCAGCCAGAGCCCGAACTTGAACCTGATCGAACATCTCTGGAGAGACCTGAAAATAGCTGTGCAGCCACACTCCCCATCCAACCTGACAGAGCTTGCGAGGATCTGCAGAGAAGAATGGAAGAAACTCCCCAAATACAGGTGTGCCAAGCTTGTAGTATCATACCCAAGAAGACTCAAGGCTGTAATCACTGCCTAAGGTGCTTATGTACTTATGTAAATGTGATATTTCAGTGTTTTATGTTTAATATATTTGCAAAAATTGCTTTGTCATTATGGGGTATTATGTGTAGATTGATGAGGGAAAAAACTATTTTATCAATTTTAGAATGAGGCTGTAACGTAACAAAATGTGGAAAAGGTCAAGGGGTCTGAATACCTTCCGAATGCACTGTACATGTTTGGTTGAGGTCCATCACTCTAACCTCTGCTGCCACCCTCCCCCTTACCTCTCTCCCCCCTCCCTCCCTCCCTCTCCCAGGTGAGGCTGTTCCAGTGGAGGAACAGCTGAGCAGTAAGGAGAAAAAGAGCAACAGTGGTGATGCCATGGCCACGCCCATGATTGACACCATCGCCCCACCCCCTGTCCCGCTATTGGACGAGGAGAAGACCCGATACGAGGGGCTCATCACCGACTTGTACCAGCAGCTGGATGACAAGGTGGGTGGGCCAGAGAGGATGGGGTGGGGATTCCCAGTCTTGATGTTCTCAGTTTCCGATAATTCAGAGAGCACATGAATGCAGCATGATGACTCACTGAGTGATGAGTGGTCATGGTCATGAATAACTGGAAAGGGGCTATGTCTGTGGTTAATTGAAGTGGGACAGTTTGTAGATTTTATGAACCACACGATGGCTTTAATCATATGCAAATACTATATAATCACATACATGCATAATTCTGTGGAATTCTTGTAAATCTGGTTTGATGATCCAGACATTTACCTAATAAGGGGTGATTAGATTGATTATCCTTAGGTCATAACGCTCAAGTCAATTAACTGTTGGGAAAATAAACAGATTGGTGTGCACACAAATCCCTCTCACACTAGCAGCCATAGCCCTGCATTAGCTAGCTCCCCCCCAAAAAGTGGAGTACAGACTCTTGGTCAATCCCAACGTGAATGCAACATTTCTGTATTGTATTTTTCTTCTTTCCTCCTATCTCAGGATGATGAGATCAACCAACACAGTCAGTTGGCAGAGAAGTTCAAAGAGCAGATGATCGATCAAGATGAGGTGAGTTTATCCAACCCTATACAACACATCTCCGTCATCTACAGTCGTGGTCAAATGTTTTGAGAATGACACAAGTATTGGTCTTCACAAAGTTCGCGGTTCAGTGTTATGAGATATTTTTGTCAGATGTTACTATGGTATACTGAAGTATAATTACAAGCATTCCATAAGTGTCAAAGGCTTTTATTGACAATTACATTAAGTTTATGCAAAGAGTCAATATTTGCAGTGTTGACCCTTCTTTTTCAAGACCTCTGCAATCTGCCCTGGCATGCTGTCAATTAACTTCTGGGCCACATCCTGACTGATGGCAGCCCATTCTTGCATAATCAATGCTTGGAGTTTGTCAGAATTTGTGGGTTTTTGTTTGTCCACCCGCCTCTTGAGGATCGACCACAAATTCTCAATGGGATTAAGGTCTGGGGAGTTTCCTGGCAATGGACCCAAAATGTCGATGTTTTGTTCCCCGAGCCACTTAGTTATCACTTTTGCCTTATGGCAAGGTGCTCCATCATGCTGGAAAAGGCATTGGTCGTCACCAAACTGTTCTTGGATGGTTGGGAGAAGTTGCTCTCGGAGGATGTGTACCATTCTTTATTCATGGCTGTGTTCTTAGGCAAAAATGTGAGTGAGCCCACTCCCTTGGCTAAGAAGCAACCCCACACATGGTCTCAGGATGCTTTACTGTTGGCATGACACAGGACTGATGTTAGCGCTCACCTTGTCTTGACAAGGTGTTTTCCGGCTGCCCCAAACAATCGGAAAGGGGATTCATCAGAGAAAATGACTTTACCCCAGTCCTCAGCAGTCCAATCCCTGTACCTTTTGCAGAATATCAGTCTGTCCCTGATGTTTTTCCTGGAGAGAAGTGGCTTCTTTGCTGCCCTTCTTGACACCAGGCCATCCTCCAAAAGTATTCGCCTCACTGTGCGTGCAGATGCACTCACACCTGCCTGCTGCCATTCCTGAGCAAGCTCTGCACTGGTGGTGCAGCTGAATCAGCTTTAGGAGACGGTCCTGGCGCTTACTGGACTTTCTTGGGCGCCCTGAGGCCTTCTTCACAACAATTGAACCTCTCTCCTTGAAGTTCTTGATGATCAGATAAATGGTTGATTTAGGTGCAATCTTACTAGCAGCAATATCCTTGCCTGTGAAGCCCTTTTTGTGCAAAGTAATGATGATGGCATGTGTTTCCTTGCAGGTAACCATGGTTAACAGAGGAAGAACAATGATTTCAGCACCACCCTCCTTTTAAAGCTTCCAGTCTGTTATTCTAACTCAATCAGCATGACAGAGTGATCTCCAGCCTTGTCCTCGTCAACACTCTCACCTGTGTTAACGAGAGAATCACTGACATGATGGCAGCTGGTCCTTTTGTGGCAGGGCTGAAATGCAGTGGAAAAGTTTGTTGGGGAATAAGTTAATTTTCATGGCAAAGAGGGACTTTGCAATTCATTGCAATTCATCTGATCACTCTTCATGACATTCTGGAGTATATGCAAATTGCCATCAGCAAAACTGAGGCAGCAGACTTTGTGAAAATTAGTATTTGTGTCATTCTCAAAACTTTTGACCACGACTGTCTCATAGATTGACATTGTATAACTTGATAAAAGTGAAGGAATTCATCAAATTGAATTAGTGCAATGAACAAAGGAGTATGTTTTTACACTCATAAACAGAGTACATAACTTGAATTTGTGTTTATTGCCATCTAGTGGTGACATATGGATCTGCATTAGATATACACTGAGTATACCAACCATTAGGAATGCCTTCCTAATATTGAGTTGCCACCCCCACCCCTCCCCCCATTTTACCCTCAGAACAGCCTCAATTCGTCGATTCATGAACTCTACAAGGTGTCGAAAGTGTTCCACAGGGATGCTGGCCCATGTTGACGCCAATGCTTCCCACATTTGTGTCAAGTTGGCTGGATGTCCTTTGGGTGGTGGACCATTCTTGATACACACAGGAAACTGTTGAGCGTGAAAAACCAAGCAGTGTTGCAGTTCTTGACAAAAACCAGTGCGCGCACCTACTACCATACACCGTTTAAAGGCACTTAAATATTTTGTCTTGCCCATTCACCATCTGAATGGCACACATACAGAATCCATGTCTCAATTGTCTCAAAGCTTAAAAATCCTTATTTAACCCATCTCCTCCCTTCATCTACACTGATTGAGGTGGATTTAACAAGTGACTTCAATAAGGGATCATAGCTTTCACCTGGATTCACCTGGTCAGTCTATGTCATGGAAAGAGTTAGTGTTTTGAATACTCAGTGTACATTCTGTAGAGCTTTGTTTCATCACGCACATCGCACGCTATGCCAATTCTGTAGTAGTAGGGACTCAGCGAGAGTAGGCAGCTCCAACAACCAGCTCAGTGAGGAACTCAACCAGAAGAGCGTGAGTCACACTGGGAGGAAGCTTGGTCTCCAGGGCTGTGTTTCATTCCAGGAAGATCCCTCCCCCCTGCTCACACTAACCCTTTACAGTAACAATGGTCATCAAAATTGGTAAAAGATTTTTAAAACAATTCTAGTGCCACACTGATGCCACTACCCCCTCCTTGCCAATGTCTGGTCACTGGTGTAGCCTACAAACTTCATGTTGTACACAAAACTGTTCTAACTATTGCATTCCATGCCTCAGTAAGCATAAGCGTGATTTCATGTCAGTCATATCTTATATCAGATATAAGTATTCTTTCCTTAATGGTTTTTAAAGCAGGAATTATAGAAAGTGATTTGAATAAGAAAGACATTGCCATGGTAACACATCCATTACGCTCTTGGCAAATAGTCAAGGGTTTGAAAGCTGGAGCAGGGCACAATCTAACTGCTGAGAGAAACAATTGCTTTAATGCCATTCTGTCATCTTGTCTACCTCCTGTAAAGTACATTAGTGCTTTCATTTTGGAATGTGGATTTATAATACCTCTTCTTGTGCCAGAGACTATAAGATGCTGATATTCCAGTGTTATATTGGGGGGTCTAAGCATTGTGCTGGAAGCTTATTGTTTGTTTGAATTTAGCAGAATGTGTCTGTGCATGCATGTACCTGTATGTGTTAACCTGTGTGTGTGTTCGTCTGTGTGTGTGTGTGTGTGTGTGTTTACTAATCTCATCTGCATGTTCATCCAGCTGCTGGCTTCGGCCCGTAAGGACTATGAGAAGCTGCAGGAGGACCTGTCCAGGCTACAGGGGGAGAACGAGGCGGCCAAGGAGGAGGTGAAGGAGGTGCTGCAGGCCCTGGAGGAGCTGGCTGTTAACTACGACCACAAGAGCCAGGAAGTGGAGAACAAGAACCGCTCCAACAACCAGCTCAGTGAGGAACTCAACCAGAAGAGCGTGAGTCACACTGGGAGGAAGCTTGGTCTCCAGGGCTGTGTTTCATTCCAGGAAGATCCCTCCCCCCTGCTCACACTAACCCTTTACAGTAGCAATGGTCATCAAAATTGGTAAACGATTTTTAAAACAATTCTAATAAATGCAACAGTTGTACAATGAATGAAGATACTCCAAACGTTTTGAAATGTTAAATGGAGTGGCTACGGATACAGAGTTTATGTATCCCAATTTGCCCAGGCTAATGTTTTTTTTACGTAGCGGAGTGCCACACTGATGCCACTACCCCCTCCTTGCCAATGTCTGGTCAATGGTGTAGCCTACAAACTTCATGTTGTACACAAAACTGTTCAAACTATTGCATTCGCTCAGTAAGCTATTAAGCATAAGCACGATTTCCTACAAACTTCATGTTGTACACAAAACTGTTCTAACTATTGCATTCCATGCCTCAGTAAGCATAAGTGTGATTTCATGTTCTTTTTTCAGGAGGGGAGTAGGCTGCATGCAGCTATTTACAAAATCCATTATCGACATGTTCGTTAGGTCTGGGAATTGCCAGTGACCTCATGATACGATATTATCACGATACTTAGGTGCCGATACGATATGCATTGTGATTGTCACGATTCTATATGTATTGTGATTCAATACTATGATTTTATTGCAATTCGGTGTTCTAAACATATTGCTCACCATATGTCTGCTGCAGAGAGACAAGAGAGAGCCATGAGAAAATGAGTTTTGATCAGTCATGGAAATAAAAGTGCTAAAAACCAAACGAAAAAGTTGGAGAACAAGCTATGAAGGAAAAATACTGGAGTTTCGGTGCAGGTACAGCCAACTAGTGCAAAAATTATATTGCGATGTTGCTAAAACGATATGATATATCGTCAGGAAATAACACCAATTTTCCCTCAAATCTACAGATCACTTCATCTCATTATACGCAGACGATATTTTACTATATCTAGACAATGTATCTCAATCGCTTCCAAACACATTGAAGATGATAGATCAATTTGGCTTCATCTCAAGTTATAAAATGTATCTAATCAAATCAGCCCTACAGCCTCTCTAGACCCTGATGGACTCCCATTCGTTTCCCATTTTAAATATTTGGGAGTAGATACTGTATATTTCCTTCCTTAGATAAAACCATTACCAGAAACTTTAATAGAACATTCAAATCAATTCAATCTGACCTCAGTAGATGGAATAATATCCCAGTTGCTTTAACCGGCAGAATATCTAGTGTCAAAATTAATATAATGCCATGGCTGAATTTCTGTAGTTCAATGCTTCCCATGGCTCCCCCTTCTGGCTATTGGGATACAATTCATAGTGCGGTTGAAAAATGTATATGGCAACGTAAACGATCCCTGATAAAATTCCCAAATTTACAAAGAGGGAAAGACGAAGGAGAACTATCCGTACCAAACATTAAATTGTATTTCCAGGCACTAGCATTTCGCCCCAAACTAAATTGGTTTAGACATTACTATTCTGCCCCCTGGCTGAGTATAGAGAGAAATATGGTGTCTCCTATTGCCCTGGAAGAGGTGGTCTTCACTGATATATCCATTAAACAATGTAAACTACACTTTGGTCCTATTATTGCTCACAACAGTTCTATTTGGCGCAAAACTGACTGGGAATCAAAATGGCATGCCCATACTCTCTTTCACGAGTGTCAGTGTAATGTGGTGGGTCGAAGTCAGGCGCAGGACACAGAACTCAATGAAAACTTACTTTACTGATAAGTAAAGAAACACAATACAGAATACCTCCACACAGGGAGGAACAAACCCGCTCACCAAACGACACACAAAACGAAAAACAATCACGCACAAAACACAATGGGAGCCACCGGGTTAAATAGGGAAGGAGTAATTACATGATGGGAAACAGGTGTGTGACAATCAGACAACAGTACCCCCAAGGTGCCAAGGTGCCAGAACCAGCTGAACCTAATACACACTGGAATGGAGTAAGGTTAGTGGAGGAGTGGCGGAGTGAGTTTTGGGCCATCTCTGCCCAGGGGAGGAAAACCGACCACTCCCCCCGCCGGTCCTGGCAATACGACCTCAGAAACCTACCCACCTCCTGGTTGACTCTCTCCACCTGCCCTGTTACTCTCGTGGTGAAACCCTGAGGTCAGGCTGACCGAGACTCCCAGACGTTCCATGAACGCCATCCAGACCCACGAGGTGAACTGGGAACCCTGATCAGACACTATATCCTCAGGTACCCCATAGTGCCGGAAGACATGTGTAAATAGGGCCTCAGCAGTCTGTAGGGCCGTAGGGAGACCGGGCAGAGGAATGAGGCAGCAGGACTTAGAAAACCGATCCACAACGACCAGGATCGTGGTGTTCCCTTGTGAGGGGGGAAGATCCGTCACGAAATCCACCGATAGGTGGGACCACGGTCGTTGTGGAACGGGTAGGGGTTGCAATTTCCCTCTGGGCAGGTGTGTCTAGGAGCCTTACACTGGGCGCACACCGAGCAGGAGGAAACATAAACCCTCACGTCCTTAGCTAAGGTGGGCCACCAGTACTTCCCACTAAGACAATGCACTGTCCGACCGATACCAGGATGACCAAAGGAGTGTGAGCCCAATAGATCAAACGATCGCGGACCTCCAGCGGGACATACACACGACCCTCTGGACACTTGGGAGGAGTGGGTTCGTTACGCAACGCCCGCTCGATGTCCGCGTCCACCTCCCACACCACCGGTGCCGCCAGACACGACGCCGGAAGTATGGGAGTGGGTTCCACGGAACTCTCCTCCGTGTCATACAGTCGGGACAGAACATCTGCCTTAGTGTTCTGGGAACCTGGCCTGTAAGAAAGGGTGAAAACAAAACGGGTGAGAAACATGGACCACCTTGCCTGGCGAGGGTTTAATCTCCTCGCCGCCCGGATGTACTCCAGATTGCGGTGGTCAGTCAAAATGACAAAAGGGTGTTTAGCCCCCTCATGCCAATGTCTCCACGCTTTCAGGGCTTGGACCACAGCCAACAGCTCCCGGTCCCCCACATCATAGTTGCGCTCTGCCGGGCTGAGCTTCTTCGAAAAGAACGCACAGGGGCGGAGCTTGGGTGGTGTGCCCGAGCGCTGGGAAAGTACAGCACCTATCCCAGCCTCCGACGCGTCCACCTCAACTGTGAAAGCCAAGGAGGGATCCGGATGAGCCAGCACTGGAGCCGAGGTAAACAGGTTCTTCAGATGACTGAACGCCCTGTCCGCCTCAGCTGAACACCGCAGACGCACCGGTCCCCCCATCAGCAATGAGGTAATGGGAGCCGCTACCTGACCAAAGCCCCGGATAAACCTCCGGTAGTAATTGGCAAACCCCAATAATCGCTGCGCCTCCTTCACCGTGGTTGGAGTCGACCAATTACGCACGGCCGAAATGCAGTCACTCTCCATCCTCACCCCAGACGCGGACATGTGGTACCCTAGGAAGGAGATGGACTCCTGAAAGAACAGGCATTTCTCCGCCTTGGCATACAGGTCATGCTTCAACAGTCGTCCAAGCACTTTACGCACCAGGGACACATGCTCGGCCTGTTTAGCGGAGTATATGAGAATGTCATCAATATACACCACTACACCCTGTCCGTGCAGATCCCTGAAAATCTCATCGACAAAGGATTGGAAGACTGATGGATCATTCATCAACCCATATGGCATGACGAGGTACTCATAGTGTCCTGAGGTGATACTGAATGCCATCTTCCACTCATCTCCCTCCCGGATACGCACCAGGTTGTACGCGCTCCTGAGATCCAATTTTGTGAAGAAGCGCACCCCGTGCACTGACACCGTCATACAAGCTATCAGAGGTAATGGATAGCTGTACTTGACAGTGATCTGATTAAGACCACGGTAATCAATTCACGGGCGTAACCCACCATCCTTCTTCTTCACGAAAAAGAAACTAGAGGAAACAGGTGAAGTGGAAGGCCGAATGTATCCCTGTCTCAGAGACATATGTTTCCATAGCTGACTTCTCCTCCTGTGACAGAGGGTACACGTGACTCCGGGGAAGTGCAGCGCCCACCTGGAGATTTATCGCACAATCCCCCGGACAATGGGGTGGTAATTTAGTCGCCCTCTTTTTACTGAAGGCGAGAGCCAAATCGGCATACCCGGAGGGAATGTGCATTGTGGAGACCTGGTTTGGACTCTCCACCGTAGTAGCCCCTAAGGAAACCCCTACACACCTCCCTGAGCACTGACTGGACCATCCCTTGAGAGCCCTCTGTTGCCATGAAATAGTGGGGTCATGAGTGGTTAACCAGGAAAGTCCCAACACCACAGGATACGCAGGATAATCAATCAGATAGAGACTAATCCTCTCCTCATGAACCCCCTGCGTCCTCATTAAGAGTGGAGCGGTGACCTCCCTGATTAGGCCTGACCCTAACGGGCGACTATCTAATGCATGTACAGGGAAGGGCACATCAACACGAACAGTGGGAATCCCTAAACTAAGTGAATACTGACGATCAATAAAATTCCCAGCTGCGCCTGAATCTACTAGCGCCTTATGCTGGGAATGAGGAGAAAACTCTGGGAAAACAACCTCAATACACATATGAGCAACAGGGAGCTCTGGGTGAGTCGGGTGCTTACTCACCTGAGATGGTCGACCAGTGCTCTGCCTACTGCCTCGACTCCCTGGGGACCCTCCCCAGCACCGACCCACAGTGTGTCCTCTGCGGCCACAGTTGGTACAGGGGACGGCCCCTCTCCTGCTCTCAATAAGCGCAGCACCTCCGAGCTCCATGGGGGTAGGGTCGGAGGTGCTGGGGGATGGAATGGACGGGCCCCGATCAGAACGTCCGCGGGTTTCCAACAGGTTATCCAGCCTGATGGACATATCCACCAGTTGGTCCAGGTTGAAGTTGGTATCCCTGCAGGCCAGTTCCCGACGAACGTCCTCCCTTAGGCTGCATCGATAGTGGTCGATCAGGGCCCTCTCATTCCATCCTGCGCTGGCTGCCAGAGTCCTGAACTCCAGCGCAAAATCCTGGGCGCTCCTCCTCTCCTGTCTTAGGTGGAACAGACGCTCGCCCGCCGCTCTCCCCTCCGGTGGATGATCGA